CAAGGTCACTTCCCTTGTAAGGACTTTATGAAATGCAAGACTAATCTTGCATCAGACAAATGTTTAAATTCTGAATGTTTTAAACCTCTCCCTGTGAAGCTTTTTGAAAGGACATTTTGAAATATTGTGTTGGAAAATAGAAGAGCACAAATTAATTAATTTGGAAAATGTATTTAATGAGTTTTAACTTGGACAATAAAAGGTTTGAGATATGAGATATTATTTTAATGAATCTCAAATCCATATATGGATGAACTAAAAGTTACAAGGTTAGACTAAACATTTTTGTTTTTGTACGTTTCTTGTGTAAAAACTTATACGGTTCAATTGTACTTTGACATTCGTCGATTTTGGGTCTGAACAACAAGTCGATCCAGCTCAGCGGCGTCATATCCGATTAGATTTTTTAAGTCACAAACAAACTTGTAAACAAAACGTTTTCCGTGGACTTTGGCAATCATGTCGCCATCATAATAGTAACGCAGAGCACGACTCAGCTTTTCATAATTCATGGTTGGTTTATTTTTTCTTTGACCCCACAGCTGAGCAACCATCTCGGGATTTATCAAACGAAATTCGCCATCTCGTCCTTCCCATTTAATACATTCTCGGCAATCAGCGTCAGTTAAAAGTTCAAGTAAAAATTGCCATAATTGTATTTGACCATTATTACCAGAACGGTTACCGGGAGATGGTAAAAATTGGCCTCGCCCACCAACAATAAGTCCATCCGCTCCGGAGCCTACAGCGATTCCACTGCCATTGTTGGAGCGATTTATACCACCAATCAATCTTTTCTGTTTATTGGGAGCTGAAGAAACTGGTGAGTTAGTGTGAGAAGGAGGGGTTGATGGGGATCCGACATTTCCCTCAGGACTACCCGTTGAAATGTTTACATTAACATTATTATCTGGTGGTTTAAGAATATCCAAAATGGTAACGCGACGGGATTCAAGCTCAACAATTAGTTTAATGTTGATTAATTTGGTCTGCTGCCGTGCGCCTTCAACCAAATTACATTGTTCAATTATAGATTTGTTAAATGTTAATTTGTTATCTTGTAGATAAAAGTCGTAGCTTTCAATATCCTCGTATTTGACTTTTAGCAACTGACAAAGAGTTTTGACACTTGCATTAAGTTCGATCCCTTCAAGGGTAACAACGTTCTCATCCTCTTCTTCTTCCTCTTCCTCTTCATCGTCTAGATCGTCATAGTCTTCAGCAGACATTTTATTAACTGATCCTGTCTCTTCATAATCGAAAGAGTGAACCAGCTCGTTCGATTCTTCTGGAAGCAAAGCTTCAGTTAAAAATTCTTCACTGTTTTCAGCCATTATCTATGCCTTTTCAACAGTTTGTCAAAGTGGTTTAAAACGAGGAAACAGCAAGCAAAAACCAGCCCGTCAGATGTAAATTTAGAGTTGGAGTAGAAGGATAGTTCCTTTGATGGGAGAGTCAGAAAAATTTACTTTAAAATGATGATAAAATAATAATATTATTATATAAATCAAGTTGGTAACATCGTTAATCACTAACGCTTCCTGGTTTTGGTCTCTTTCATCACTTGTCACTTCCAATGTATTTACCTTTTTCAATCCATTGTTGCAACTCCAAATAGAAAATTGAACAATCTAATACTTTAATAGGATCATGATTGTAATCAGATGGTTAACCATGGACCAGAAGTAAAAGAAGATAAAAATATTAAAATAACTAAATTATTTTATATTACACAGAACAATTATCAACAGTCATTTATTTATAAATTATAAAATTTTGCTATTGAGCAAATGTCAAAAATTTACTGCCATCTACTGTTTCTAATAACAGTTGTAGATAACCGCCAATAACTGCTTCCATCTATCAAGCTTCGTGAGAATAGTCCAAGAGGGCTAATCCCACGAAGAGACATTATGGGAATATTGACTGTAACTCTCTGTAATTAACTTTCTTGACAAAGACACAAATGAATCGATTTGAATTCAAGTCTCTTTTGAGCGACCCAAACATGGATGAAACTGAGCACTTTTGATTTATCTTGAAAGTATCTTCAATTGAGTAGTTTGTTGCACTCAAAGAAGTTATTTGAACTTTAAGTAAAATTTATCAAACAAATTCGGCCGTGAAATAAAAGTAAAGATTGTCATCAGCTTCGATGATGAAAATTGATTAGATCGTGAATATGCTTCAGTTGATATTCAGTTGATTCTTTATTTAAATTATTGATTTAACTGTACAGACAAATACATCTTGGACAATATACACATGTATTTTAAATACAAAATATTGCTCGAGAAAGGTTAATAAATAATTTATAAACAAGATTTTCGCATGAATCAGATAAATAAATAAATATGATAGTTCGATGACACCTTAACGTCGAAACTTCAACAGTCAAAGTATTCTTCATAAAATGTGATTCTTTTTGAATTGAACATTATGTAAAAATATTCGATAATGTCAAGATAGGAAAGATATATTTACAAAAGGTTAAAATTAAACACAATAACATCTATTTACAGTAACACAAACCCATTATCGGATCTGGAATTGTTTCGTTTCACTTGGAAATACTTAAATTTATATTTAAAAAATTTCAAAATTCTGATTCCATAGAAATTTTCAGATCTTCAACGATGCCACAAGAACAAAGATCGGTTTTGTTTAACTTTCATGTAGATTAAATACCAGAAATCAATTTCAGCATAATTCTGGACATTTGATATCCATTTTCATTCAAGATTAAACTTTTTGGTGCTTAAACTCGTCTTAGTGAACACCAACTTAAACAGAGCACTAGCTTAAACAGCTGATAACGCAATCAGACTGATTGAATCAGTAATAACTTTCAGATGGATCAATAACGATGAGTCTGATTGAAGGTTCCATAACAATTTTCTTGGATTTAGATTCGCCCTGAAGGAACCTCTTTGAAATCAAATTGCCATGCCATAAAGCACTTCCACTGCAATGAATAAATTTAAAAATTATTAAATCACTTAAAACACTGAGAAAAGGAAAAGTGAAAAACTTACCGTGATTCGATGTAATTTTGGGTGTCGTTGGAGGTACGAGTAATATGGCAGATTATTTTGTTGAGTCACAAATAAAAATTTAAGATCGAGATCGAAACAATGAGTAGTTTCTCTTAAAGAGATTTAGGAACCTCAAAAATTATAATAGAATTAAACTCGAAATTTCATTTTTTAAGGTTTATGCCAATCAATAGCAATCATATCCCACATTTGGCTTTTAACGGAAGAACATTTGTTCAGAGTTAATCGTCTTCTATTGACAACTCCAAGATCGAGGCATAAATTACTTCTCACATGGCGAATAGTTTTATCAGCTAAAGAGTAAAGCCAATGTTGTCTAGTTGATTGAGAACAAGCGAGGAGAAGAACAGTTGGATCTGTATCAACATTAATAGCATCCAAACAAATCGACTCGTCCGTTAATATGATCCCCTGTTTGGTGTAAACGAAACATTGTGGTGAATAAGTTTCTATTGCACATTTTTCCAAGTCGACTCGGCCAACTCCATTATTCGAAGGTCCTCCTTCTGCGTTTGGTCTTTGCAAGCATTCTCCTAGCGCAACATTACGGATTTTACCAAAAAATCTATCATGAGTCGGAAAGAAATGCTCTGGCCAAACATTTTCCAAAAACCAAGAGAAACTTTTACAGGATAAACGTTTTTTCAATTCAATTCGTTCAGTTAAATTAGCAAGTTTACTTGGTATTTGACTATAATCTTCAACCTTTGACATTTCACCAAAAATGGTTCTCTTCATGACAGGATTTATCTTGTAAAAAAAATTAAGATACTCTGGATCCATCCAAACATGTAGAACTCGAGCCAAATTAGTGTAAAGAACACCAGTAACACCATCAGGTCGTGGGAATGAATATGGCGATGATTTACGAAACAAATGACCAACATGAGAACAGGGCACAATTTCCATGGTTCCACCACATTGCCAAACTCTCAATGAAAGTTCAATGTTCTCACCACCCCAGATATCCATTTGAGCATCATAGGAGCCAATTGAATAAAAATATTGTCTATCAATGGCGAACAAACCACCAGCCATGATTGGAGTTCTGAATGGATGACTAACTTCCGAAAGGCCATGTTTTTTTATACGAGATAACTCAGCTTGACCAATTGGATACCAACGGAAATGAAGATTCCAATTGATACCGCCCCAATGAAGCTCAAAGCTTCTGGCAAAGGCAAAAGTTTCTTCATGAATAATATCAATAACAGGACAAACAACACGAGTTGGGTCTGAACTGATTCTATCTAGAAGAGGCTCCAACCAGCCGATGGTTGCTTCACAATGAGCATCAAGGAAGGTTAAAACTTTTCCTGTGGCTCTTTCAGCTCCAATCAGGCGAGCCTTGATTAATCCGATCCGCTCTTTGGAACGTAAAATTTTGATAGGAACCAACGATGAGGCGGTTAAATTGACCATATAAGAATCCAATTCGGTTCCTAAAAAGGTTCGGGTACTGGCATCATCAACTAAAATGATTTCCTCCAAAATTTTACGCGGAGATGTACTAATAACAGAATGAACTGTCCTTACCAAAGTTGACCAAGCTTCATTATGAAATACAATGATGATACTTGCTTTTCCCAGAGAATTAGTGTAAACTTTGTTTCTACACCTTTAAGATGGCAGCCAAAAAGAAAGATGAAAAAAAAATATTCTTGGTTAGTGACCTCACGTTGTGTGAGAAAGGATAATGGAAAAGATCATGAAGATAAAAGGAAAGGTGGATTAAAATTCAGTAACTGAGCTTCTATTGAAAAGGAAAATTCTCACCCACATCAAAAATAGATGCTTCTGACTTCTCTCTTGTTTTCTTGGTTCAAGAGTTTTCAGTGAAAGTAAAATAGGTAATAAAAAGAGGAGATGAAATAAAAAGCACTTCATAAAACGAATTCATCTGTCATTTAATCAACAATTTTTTTATAAACTGTTGGTCTTTCATGACGTTCATGATTTTTTTTCAAACTAATAATGGTCTGTTCATTGTTGTATCTTTAAGTTTACTAGGGACTAAAGCTAATATTGTTAAGATGGATTGGAAGGGGAATTTCTTACCTTTGCTTTCTTGGATCAGGTAGAGAGCGCTTGACTGAAATTTTATCGGATGCAACCAGATTAAATTTATTAATATGATACAATATTTTGACCTTTTGTTGCTCATATTGAGGCACATAAACAGGGGAACCATTTTCTCCAGCTTTAGGAATTGGATTATAATTGTTGCTGTTGAGTATTTCTGAAAGATGAAATGCAGTCAAAGTTAACTTTAATACACAAAATGAAGGATTTAAATAAAAGATTCATCATCGAGCATAATGTTGGTAGATCAACTTTAATCAGCCATCAACTTACAAAATTGTCAGTCAAAATTGCTTCACTCTTTGTGTTGACAACAGTAGCGTTGACTAAGAGTTTATTCAACGTTGAAGAGCTAGTCGCTGTACACCAGCTGATAGGAATAGCTTAAAATATTCAAATAGTATTTACCTTGTGAAAGATTTGCTGATCCTAACCATGGTAAACTTTTCCCATTATATTGACCAACAATTACATGAATACCTTTTTTATTGATGTATTCCTTTTGAAGTTTACTTTCACTCAACATGACCACAACATCAGAAGCATTGTCATCAGGCAGATCTGGTTGTTGTTACATCAGAGACAGAGTAAATAATACACAAAAATAACAATTAATTAAAAGAGAAACAATATCATCGTTTGACAAATGTTAAATAAAATACAAAATTTAGATAAAGTATTTTTACCTTGGTCAGTTGAACGACTAAACAAGTAGAGTATTGAAGAGATCACAATAACAAATAAAATGATGAAAATTTTAAAACAAACTCTGCGGCGGCTAATGACTAGTCGAAAAACTCTGGACATCATTTTTGGTATACACCAAATGGTGCTGATTTAAATTTAAAAGAGGATAGTTTGATGATTTAGTTGAGAGATGAAAAAAGTGAAATCAGATGGGAACATAAAATAAAAAAGATGATTCAAAACAAGCAGCAACAAAACAACTTCACAATTGAAAAGCCAGTGTACTTTTTGTTATAAAATAAAAACAAGGTTGAGACCGGTTTATTGGAGGGATAAACGGTGGAGACTTGTAATGAAAAGATGTTAACCTTATGGAGTAAATGAAGGGGTTAGGATTAAAAAAGTGACAAATATCCGATGGAGACTGAAATAGCATTTCATAATCTGAAGATGGCGTATTTTACCAATTTAAGATTATGAAAGAAAAACGATAAAAACGGAATGAAATTAAACATTAAAACAAAATAAAGCAAAGAAGTAAAAACCTAACAAAGCTAAATCCAGAATGACTCAAATTTTTCCTTGTTAGATGTGCAAAACTATCTTTTCTTTGACAAATTTCATCAGATCCAATATTAAATTTCATTTTCCATTTATTTGAATGAGAAAATTGAAATGCTGAAAAATTACGATGTTAGTGACTTGAATTTGATAATTCAAGAGAAATATAGAAAGTCATTGAGTTTTGCTTCCCAATCTCAATTCAACTGATCAGCATAAAAAAATGAATTGTCCAGTTTTCAATTTAACATATCAGCAAAGATGAAAAAATTGTATCCGTAAAAGCTTTATGAAATATACGTTTCCATGATTGGATTTGTTTTCAATGAAGTCAATCCATGAAAAAAAGTGGGAAAAAATGAACAAAATTAACTTTCGATGATAAGTTGACATGCTTTTGTGTTTTTCAAATGTTGACAAATTTCTTCTGGATCATAAAATTAATCTGATTGTTGAACCAAAATCGCAATCAAATAATTTGTCAGAATCTGCTCCTTCCTATTATAACGTTTTTGTCTTTCATTATTGTTGTTTCTTCTCCTTCTTTATTACAGCAATTGACACCATAACTTGATTAAACAGCGTATAATGTAACGTTTTAATTAAAGCCTTTCTTTCCCTCTCTCTCTCCTCTCCATCCTCCTTCTCCTTCCTATTGAACAATTGAAAATCAGGTATTTTTAGGTGAATAAGGCGCGACAATAACCAATAAGGCTTGGTTAAAAAGATGATCATATTGTTAAGTGGAAGATCAATAATCTGAAGGAAATTGTCGAAGCTTCCATCCAAATCCTGATCACAACGAATCAGTTTAAATTCAGCTTAGTACCTGATTACTTGAAAAAGAGATAAATTCATATCAGTCAATATATAAATACTTAAATAGTGTTTCTATTAGAAAATGTAAATATTAGTAAAAAGTGTCATACGATTTAAAATTTGTTTCGCATTCTTTCTTCAACTGTTTGTATTAATTTGACAGTGTATTTGGGAACAACATAATTACCAGTGGATTAATAAAGATGATCAACGGTAAACTTTTAGTTATTCTTGGTGTTCAAATTGTCCTCACTCATGGACAACCATTTTTTGCTCCAATGGCCGGTCAATTTGGTTTACAATTGGAACCTTACGGTAATATTTTTGATTTTTGCTCTATTCGCCGATATTTTTAATGATTCAAATAATGAATGTGTTATAATGTCAAATATTATCTTATAAAGTGAATTATTATTCGAGTACGGTAGATGCGACATTGAGACAGGTTGCTTTTCAAAGTGAAGTGTCAAAAATAAACAAAATCCCAAAAATTTTTGATGCTAAGTTTGATTGCAATGAAATTTTGTAAAAACAAAAAGTCAAACTAGCAATCAAAGTGTAAGAATGAAAAGAAGGTTGAGATTAAACTTCCAGAGTATTGAAGATTGAGTTTACCATCAACTATCTTATTCCATTACATGATATTGAGGTGAAATGGGTGAAATAAGTTTTTTGAGAATTGTGAATTATGATCTAATTGGTGAATAATTAGTACATCATGAGTAATCATGTATATTCAAACCGTTAATTTTACTTCTGTTTATTTACTTGTAAATTGCTTGATTCCATCATTAACAGGAGCAGCAACAGGGTATGCGGGTGGTGGAGGAGTTGGTATTCCGTTACTCAGTCCATTGGAGCTGAACGCGATCATGGAGGCTCAAGCAAAAGCAGGTAACCTAAAGAGTCCTTTCACTCCTAACACCCAGCCTCAGGGTTTTGCTGGTTACAGTAATAATAATGAATATATGCCAAACTTTGAAGAGGGCTTTGAAGGCAACGAAGGTAATAGTGAATTTTACGAGTCACCTCGTCACGGCGATGGTTTTCCTGATCCGGATTCTGTTGATAAAGAACCAGAGACAAAAGGTCGAGACAGTAGAAGCCATTATTCTAAAGATGATTCCGAAGAAGAGCTACAAAAGCCAAGCCATGGACCCTCTGGATATCAGTCAAAACACGGATTCTCAGAGGAATCTAATGCACAAGGTGGATTTTCCCCTCAGAGAGGAAATTCTCGAGACGAGGAAACAGGACCTGCTGAACCAGCTTCTGGTGGAGCTTATCGAGAGCACAGAGGTGAAGGTGGATCAGCTGAAGGACCAGAAGAATCTGAAGGCGTTGAAGGAGGCCCTGAGCCATACTCAGGTGGTGCAGAAGGAGAGCGATACAGAGATGATGAGCCACCGGAAAATTACCGAGATCACACAGCTGCTTTCCAAGAAGATAGAGATTTTGGCGGGCCCGGCGAATCAGCTTATGAACCCAAAGAGACACCTAACACTAGATTATCAGGTAAAAAAGGAAACTCAGCCAGTCCTAATGTAGCCAATCGAAGACCAGTTATGGATAACGCAGGCGGTTATTCACCTAATCTATACCAAGATGACTCTCGAATAAGGGTACAACCAAGTGCTTACAGACCACATCCAAACGCAGGTTATTTTCCAGGTCGCATAGCTGCTGCAACAAGTTTTATCCCACAAGGTTATCCAATGCCACAGGTCAGGTCATTTCACCCAAATTACGCAGGATATAAAGTCTTTAATGGTTAAATGACAAAAATAAGCACAAATTTGTATACACAAACAGAGAAATCTTGTCAACATTTCCAAAACATTGTTTAATAATTTTGGGCCGCCAAGTTAGATACAGGTCAACATATAAATTCAGAAGCTTTTTCTAATCATAAGCTCTAATTATAAAAAATAACAAATTTTTTCATTTACATAAATTAAATTAATAAATTTTTCACGAAAATTTCGCTAAAACAAAAACGTTTATTGTTTATTCCTCTTAAAATTAAGTAAGAATAGCTAATGAAGCTATTTTTAGGTAAACAACATTTAAATTAGCCGTTTTTTCTGCGAGAATAGCAGCGCTATCATCAATTAAACACCAACAGCATTTATTTTGAAAGAAAATTCAAATCAAAATTAATTACAAAGAAATACCAATCGTATACATGTAATAACACGATATCGTCATGAGTTAAAAACAATACAAACCAAATTATGCCGAGTGATCAGTCATTCAGATAATCAGTTATAACCGTTTAATTAAAATCAAAGCTTGACCTGGAGCTTTCATTTCTGCAATTTCACCATCAAACTGAACTCATAATCGAACAATGATTCTATTGAATAGGAACAATCGCGATATAAACTGAAAGCAAAACAAAACAGAAGATGTGACAAAAAAATGTCTAAAAAATGCTTTAAAACGGATCAAAAGTGAAAAATATTTGATTCATTTTTTCATAAAATAAAAAACAAAAGCTTCCAAAAAATGTCTTTCATCAGGAAAAATTTATAATTAATCAAATGTTTTGTCATCGCCATGTAGCTATCGATACCTTCAGCATGTTGCTTTCAAAGACAATGAATGAGCATATAATTCCGATAGACTTTCATTGTGTCAAGTGTATTTCCTGGAATCGCAACATTGTATTCGTGCTTGTATCATAGTAAAAGCGTTGGTTTCAAGATTTCATTTACAAACATAATCAGAATGAAAGATAAATTTCAAAACGCCAGGATTTCTCATGAAGGCATGTAAGGAAAGCAAATAAGGAATAACGAAGCAAAATTTTCCAACCGACAAGTTGCTTGATGGGTAACAAAAAATAAATAAGTCAAGATAGCGAATCAGAAAGGTAAGTTTGTTATATTAATAATAAAGGTAAATGATTACGGAAGAGACAATCAGTTTGCAGATAATTCTCGTTCCGTTTCATTGATAAACTTGAGACTCACTTACTTTTTGACACTCATGATTTGTTTTAGTCCGTTATTTGAATGTGAAACAAATGATTGCTATAAATAAGTGATATTAAAAGTAGATTGATAATATACATATATTTGGTTCACTTTTGAAAACTCAAGATCACTAATCCGCGTCCAAATTGAATTGTTTACATTATTGATAACATGATTCATGTTACAGATTATCAAGATAACAGATTAACATTTGTATGTTCAGAGAGATATCAACAAGGAATCGGTTCATCACAAATATATTATAATATATTGCTATCAATACTTTGTGCATTTGGTACCAATTAACCGGCATTCAATCGAAACATTATTCATTTTTAAATTTAGAAATGAACTAAATTTAGTTTTCTTTACTGAAATGAGCATCAATGAGGAAACAATCTTAACTGATGAATAAACTAGAATTCAAATCTGTGTATATTTAGTGTTACAGTTAATAATACTTTATAATAATGCTTAATAAGACTTTATTTGTGTTGATGCTTTTCTGGTAAGATGATATTTCTGGTATCTGTTTGGATTACTGTCCCAAAAATTTACGATTTATCCTGATTTTTAATCGAAGTAGCCTTGTCTTGGTCATTACTGTGTATGGCTAGAGGTAAGCCTTGGCTAAATGAAACATCCATTCATGTTTGGATGTTTTAGGAATAAAGAAACTATGAAAATTGTAGAAAAATATTCAATAAACTTTGATAGTTAACGCACTGTTTACCTCAATTTTAATCTGATTTTTAAGTCTAATTTTAAAGCTATCTGAATACAAACCAGTACAAGAAGGTGCAAGGATTTTGCTGAATCAATATCAGAATTTAAAATGAAATCTATTGGATTAGAGTTTATTTACTTAATTACTTTCAATTAGACGTCTAATTATGCTTATTTTACGCTCAGCTCTGACTGGTTCTTAATTTATTTATATATTAGAGTAAACGGTTGATAATTGGTCACACCTAACTAAAGTAGTCGCTGAAAAGTTGTGAGGTCAAAAGAGTTCTAATGGCTCTCTGTAAGTTGAGTTAAGATGAGACCATGGACTCGAAAGTTATTCAAGAAAAAGCGACGCTAACAGAAAAATATTTGTTTCCCCAAAAAACACCCGTTTTCATTACTGAATCCTAATACTTTATCCTCTTTATTTTTGCGATTTGTTATCTGATTGACTATTACGGGACCGGCTTTTTTCCACCACTTTTATTACCGTCTTTTCCCCGTATTGTCCGCCATATTGTCCACCACTCAATCTAACACATCAACCAAATCAACCAAATCAAACATCATCACTTTTTAAAGAGACTTTTCTCAACAAAATTGTCCACCGCTTTAGAGTGACTTTTTTCCACAACATTTTCAAACAATTTTTTATAAGATTATCCACCACCGAAATCCACCAAATTGTTGACCACTTTTACACCATCTAACAAATCCACTATTAATCGTCACCATATCCTGAAGGTGGTCAAAAACTCGGTATGATTTGGCTGCCACTTACCTATTCACTAAAAAGATGTTTCTGTGGTCTAATAATGTAAGAATCGAAACTAGCGATGAAATTAACTCAGTCAGTAGAGAATTTCTTTTGGATCGTCTTGATATCGCTGATTTGTCTTCAAACTTTTCATAGATGTTCGCACAAATTTTAAAAACTTCGTTTTGCTTCAACTTCAACATCTTGAGTTCTGGTGCAGATATTGCCCTGATTTTTCATATTTATACTCTGAATACCCTAAAGAACATATGTTGAAAATTTTGAGCTAATCCAATTAGTGCATCTTAAGATAATCCAATTCAAAAATCATTTCCATTTTTACTTTACATACGTTAATAGCATCAACTATTGCAAGTCGTTCAATTAATTCCATGCAAGTTCTTTGATAATACTTGTTTCGGAATTTATCAAATCTTAATGACATTTGAATTACTGCATAATAGTTGAATCTAAATTGAAAAGGGTATAATTAAAGGAAAAGTCAATGAAACTTGAACCATTAATGAATTCAGGAGTTATGTTAATTGATACTTTCAGTTTCAATCACGCATATAACAGCAATAAAAGTGATCGCAACCTTAACTCGCTTAGTTAATGTAATCCGACAACTAGAAATTGTATTCAACATTATGTACAGATCTAGTTTTATCTAGTTAACAGGTATGACTCTTGTTGCTTCACCGATATTTCAATAACTTTACAAAAGATGATTATGATTTTTATACCTTTTCGATTTAGTAGAGAAAGATTAAAAATAATATTTTATAATGCAATAGGAAATTTGGTTATAAAGTCAGCGAAAAGGCAAAAGGTTAGTGAAATAGCACTTTAACTTGGTTTACTGAGATTTTTTGTTGGAACTTGGCGTCCGTAGAGGAATACTGAAGCCATAACAATTAGAGCACCCAAAACGAATTGCATGGTAGGATGAAAATTTAGGAAATAAATAGAAACAATACAGGATAGAACAATTGCCAAAGAAGTAGCAAAACCTTTGAGAATGTTGTCTGCATATTTAACGACAACGGCACAAATTAATCCACCAAGAGCTTGTAAAATAATAACAGTCCAGACGAGAAAGTTGTAACCATAAAAGAAACCTTTCTCCGATATTGGACCTAAATCAGTGAAAAGGATTCCAATTAATCCAAATGGTATCGTAAGAGCACTTAGTTGAACATTTCGTATCCAAAGCGATACTTCAGCTGATCCTTTCAATATTTTTTCAAAATATACACCAGCAAATCCAGAGAGACCACAAGCAGTAAGAATTGCCATGAACCCAATAAAGGGAGATTGATTTTCATGGTTATCTTTGTGTGGTGAAGATACTACTTCTGAGTTCGATGATGATGACGATGGTGATGGATGTGAGTCTGATGAAGTTGATTGCTGCTGTAATTGGACAAGAGCTACACCAGTGAATAGAAGAAGTAAAGCCAACCATTGATGAGGATAAAGTCTTTTATTTAACATAGCTACCGAGAAGAGGGCTGTTGTCAAAATTTTCAATTGATAGGTTATTTGACAGGTTGCTGCATCGAGATGTGTTGCACCAACATAGAGTAGATTATTTTGAATGTAATAAACAATTGACGGAACGGCCACTTTCAAAGTATCCAAAGGTCGCTTGATTATTTGATTATTTATGATGTTGATGGCTCCTTGAGATGATCCTTCATTTGAGTGAACCATGCAGATACAGGTAATTAATTTGATAAATTCTGCAAGAATAACTGCAGTAGATGTAATAAATAGCTCTTTCTGGGTTCTTGAAACTCTCATCAATAAATTAAGGGTACAATTTTGGACTGTCAACGTTATTAAGGAGCCATATTTGAGTACATCTCGATTTCCCAAAAATGAATTCTTTCCATCAGATCGCAATACTTTGACATCATCATCATCATCATTTTTGATTCCGACATGAATCAATAAATGAGCATCACTTTTACTTTCCTTCATGGCTCTAATAATAACAGATGTGGATTAATCCCCCAAAGGATGAAGTTGGTTGGTAGTAGATTAATAAATCCGTTGAACCAGGATCAAAATAGTATCATGGTAAATCTAAACTGAAATGTAAAAATATTGATATTAATTTTCCATTGTAATGGTGAATGGATGATGGGCATGAATATGCTAAGAGATGAAAGTAACTCGTGGCATATATTCAGCTGTCAATAAACTCAACATGCATTTACAGTACGTTTTAAATGAACAAGGGAAAGGAATATTCAGGCGTAACTGAAATGAAATCAAGGTTCCAAATCTTCAAAAACAATAAACTTACCATAAGAAAATTGTAATTAAACGTAGTTTCCATTAAAAGTCAACCAAACCATGTAAGAATGATAAAAGGGGGCAATTCTGGGTACAATAAACAATGAATTGAGCTAAAAAATTAGCTGTTTCCATATGAAGGAGCAAGTTTCACATCTCAAAACATATGATTATAAATGTTGGTTCCCTTTACGCCAATACAATACGAGTTGGATCATTTATCACTGATAGTAAATCATAAAATGTAAAGACTATTTACACAGATTATAATTGCTATATTCTGAGATGATTGAGATACTACAGTTTCAAGAAATTAGATATTTATTGTCATTTGTAACAAAACCGGCATCACTCAGATTTCTCCCTCTCGCTCCCTCCTCTCCCTAGAACCTGAATTCCAGTGTTCAATAAAAAGTTACCCATTCTTAAGCTCCATGTTTCTATACATTATGATTCCCATGTAAATACTTTTTTCTTGCAACATTAATCAATTTACTCCGAATCAAAATGAAAGGTTGAAATACATTATAAACCAATAAGTAAATAGAAAAGGGTGTAACAGTTTAAAAATTAGGAAAAATGGCAAGTAGAGAGGAAAGCTCATCAATTGTTTACTCTACGGCTGTTTAATTTAATGTTTATTTTGAAATAACCAATCAACAAATGAAGGTCGTTCGATCTACAAATCATTCATATTCAAATAAGACATCCAATAGTCAGTTGATTATCTTAATTCCCATCCATTTAACATGAGTAAAAGATGATTGTTATTATTTTGGATCAGATTTATTATTCCATAATAACATTCAAAGAACTGTAACACTCGGAATTTGATAGAGTCTTAACTATAGATAGCAATGGTAACTCTAAATTACTTTAGAAATTAAAGAATTAATTTACTCTTAACTAGAAAACCAACTAATCAATAAATGTAATTGGAATTGACAGTTTAACCAGAAAAAAGTGATTTCGTTAAAATAGGAAAAGAAGCCTGCGTAGTAGTGAAGATAGCTTGAATTGCGCTGTTATTCAAAGAGCAAGAGAGAAAGAGAGAGAAAAGAAAGTATTTCCAGAAAATTCTTGCAATTTCAAGTTTATTCTCATAGCAGCTATTTGTTTCTCGATTGAGTGAGCTTTCTTATAAAATAAGCTAACTTTCAAATTATGTCGCATTACAATAAAAGTTCTGATCGAAGTGTTCCGTTTTCAACTTCTCGTGACAATTCTACTTCTGAGTATTTTCCGCTCTCTTCGCAATCACCGCGACTTGGTAATTCATCATTCAACTCTACTCGTAACAAAATTTTCAATAATTTGAGTGAATTTGAAGATCAACTTCCATCAAACAAAATGTTCGTGGATAGAAGTCCATTTGGTTCTTCTTTTGATCATCCTCGAATGATGGTAAGTATATAATCCTATGTTTTAATTTTTTTTATCAAGATAACTTGAAATATTTCTCAAATATTGCGTTTCATCTTTTAGTCTATCTGTTTTAGTCTATTTTTGTTCTACTTTCAATTTTTGTGAATGTTAGTTAATTGACTTGCTGCCAGACCTCTTTTATTTCACTAACTTTTAGCTCTTAGCTTTCTAACCTTGAATTTTTTAAACCTGTGGTACTTATTCAATTGATTGAAATTTACTAACTCATCTTTCTTTTTTATCTTTAGTCAGGGTCTCGAAATCTTGACATGTCTAACTCTTTTAGAGATGAAATGGATGATCAAGTAAACCACCATCCAAGAGTTTTCAACATCCCTATTCAAGTCGAAACACCAGAGGGTTTCGTCCCTCTTGTAAGATCTAACAGCAATGCTGGTTCACATTTTGCTGGCAATCGGGGTAATATGAGTAAAGATCCTGTTGCTTCGGACTTCACTTATGGCAGTCCTTCTGAGAGACCAGGGTACATTCATCAGCGACCTGTTAAAAGTCCAACTCCTCCACCTAAACCTAAATTCAGTCGAAATCGTCCAGAATTTCATAATCATCATCAATCTTACCAACATAACCCTGAACCATACTCTCATAGTCATCCTCGCGTTCACTCGATCCCAGTTAAAATCGAAAGAAGTGGCAAATCTCAACAACCTACTAGAAACGATTCAAATAGCCCTCAACCATATGACGAAGTTAGTCATCCTAACTCTCCTAACTATGACACTTTTTTCGGTGGTAGACGATCTCGTTCATCTTCCGAATCTGAATCTCATCAACCTGATGTAAACCGTTCTGTAAATATTCCAATCCAAATTGTGAAAACTCAATCGAGTGAACCGCAAAATGCTTCTAAAGAGCCTAATCAACCAGTCAATCCACCTAATCCACCTCAACCTTGTGAAAATAAGGAAAAAACTCCGCCTGATCCTATTGAACTCATAAAAGACATCGAAAAAGAAGCCTGTAGGTTAGAAAAAGAAGTCATCGAATTCAATGGAGAATACTTGGATAAGAAGTATAGATATTTAGATGAGATGCTAACGCGATGCATGTTAAAGCTTGATTCAATTGATTCCAATGGACGTGATGAAGTTCGAATGGCTAGGAGAAGTACCTTGGCTCATGTTGACCATTGTCTAGCAATTTTAGAGGGTAAAGTGAATAAGCCAAAGCCTGAAGAAAATCTCGATGAACCGACAAACCAATGTAATGAGCAGGCTGAAACAGCTACTATGGAGTCTGAACCTGTCCAGCAGGTAAACGAAGAATCAATTTCTAATGAATCGCCAGCCTGTGAGATGACCGAGGACCAGAAAAATGATATGATGGAAACAGAAAATAATTCCGATGAAGCTAATATTAGTGCGGCCGACGAACAAGAGCCTAAGTCTACACCAGAAAGTGATAATGTCAACACTGATGAGTCGACTTGTAAACCTGATGAGGTGTCATTTGACCAGTTAGATTTAGAGACATCCTCAGCTGACTCGGCTAGAGTGTATCTTGACGACACAGCTCATAACTCTCAGAGTGAACAAATGAGCCAGGATCTAGAAGCCAATGAATCTGATAATTCTCCACAACCAAAGGTCGAATTTCCTCCTGATGATAATCTGGATGAATTGGTGGACAAAGAGTCTATGGATATCGAAGTCAAAGCATCACCTGATTCTGAAGAAGCTTCAAATGAGCATGAACAATCAATTAGTTCCACAACCGAAGCTTTAGTTACCGAGGAAAAGTCTAACAACGAATATCGTGTTGAAAATACTGAAGTTCAAGAACCAGACTCTAGTTCTTCACCAATTACCAACAACTCTATAGAGAAACAGAAAAAGATTGATTAATTTGATTACTTATAAGTACAAATCTACTTCATCAATCTTTAATTACATGCAATGTAATTTTTACTTTCCGAAAACCACTATTAAGGTTATGTAAACAAGAATGAGCATTATTGTTTTTGTTTATTTATTTTCTGTAAATAATTTTAAATTATGTATCAAAAATTTCATCAAATCTATTCACATTTGTTAACGAAATTTCCTGAATGCATCTAAAAAGTCACTAAAAATTTGTTGTTCCAATGAAAGTCATTGTCATTATCAAATGAATAAAAATTTCAGAAAAATTAATTTTACTTGCGTCTTTTTATTGAACCAATTTATATTAAAAATTATCAAAATCAGTGGGACTGAACAATAAAATAACCATTAATAATTTAGTTGAAATGAAAATGAAATACATTCTGATAACCCTTTTCATAAGTCTTTAATTTTAGCAACAATCGAAAGCTCAACAAAAAGTACAAAAATGTATTAATATTTCAATCTAATGCCTCTTCTTGCATCTTATCTTTAGTCTGCAAATTTTTGGATAAATCACGAATATCTGAAATCTTGAGACTTCCCAAAGGTTTCTCATCTAATGATAGATTATATTGTCGTCCAAAATACTCTTTAACCTCTATTGATTGCAGTGAGTCCAAACCTAATTCATTAAGAGTAGTGTTAGGGTCAAGTGCGTCGATATCTTTAATACCCAAAATATGAGCAATCCTTTGGAAGATATTTTCAAATTGAGAAGCTTCTTGTTGAGTTCCACTAGAGATTACACAGGATTGACAGACTGCATCTGGAAGTTGCATGAATTTATCTAAAGCTCGGAAACAGGAGAAAATATTTTGAGCAGCAAAACCAAAAATGACCAAATCTTTTTCATTAACCAATCTAGCGGCAACACCAACATCAGCAACTGGACCCCATTGAACAGCTAAACCAGGAAGACCTTCCTTTCGCCTTTCCTCACAAACCCTTTCCATAAAAGAGTTGGCAAACGCATAATTTGATTGTCCAACACTACCAAGTGTAGCAATTGACGAGAAACAAACAAAATGGTCAAGATAGGGACACAACTCTCTGGATATTTTATCCAAATTTTGAGTAACTTTAATCTTAGGCCCACAGACTAATTCAAACGCCTCTGGAGTTTGATTTTCAAATAAACCATCTTTAAGTACCATAGCAAGGTTAAAAATGCCACCAATGGGACCTAGTCGAGAGGCTGAATCAATCAATTGAGAAGTCATTGTTGGTGTCATTGCATCATTAATGGTAACAATTATGTTGTGACGACGATATTGATAATAACGGAGAAACTCAATGAAACCTCTTTCATTATCAGATTTAAAGCCAGACCGAGAAGTAATGACAAGATTTCGAGCTCCTCGCGAAACCATCCAATAAGCTAACTCCAAACCCATTCCACCCAAACCTCCAAGAATAATATAACACTTTTGAGGATGGAAATAGGTTTGACAAACGCAATCTAATGGTTCCAACGGTAGTTTCAGTTTTTCATCTCGAATTTCAATAAGCACTTTCCCCAAGTGACGACTTTTTGCCATTAAACGAAAAGCATCTTCAACTTGATTAGCTTTGTAAACATGTGAAGTGATTGGCCTTATTTCACCACAATCAATTCCTTCGGAGAAAAATTTCTGAAATTGTTCAGCTAATTGTCGACCTTCCCATGAGTTCTCACAAATTTTATTGATGACAAATGAAAGACAAACTGCTTGGAAACTAGAATTGTTTTTCAATGAGCTATAATCTGAAATGAAAATGAGAAAATTGATAAATTGTTATAAATCCCAATTTAGCTTATTTTATAATGAAAATTGACTTACCAAATTGATGATTTTGAACGATATCATATTTTCCCAATTCAAGAAATCGACCTCCTTCAGCCACACACCGTAACCCTGATTGTAGTTTATCATCTGTTAGGGAATTGAGGACTATATCCACACCTCGTCCATTAGTTTGGCGTAAAATGTGTTCCTCAAATTTATTTGAGCGAGAATCGGCGAAACAAGTGTCATCCAATTGAGGAAACATTGATTTGAGGAAATCTTGTTTCGCTTGTGTACTAACAGTGGTGAACACTTGACAACCACGGGCAAGACACAATGAAATGGCTGCTTGACCAACTCCACCAGAACCTGAATGTATCAAAACAGATTCACCTCGCTTCAAACCACCTCGGACACAGAGAGCATAATATACAGTTAAATAAACATTTGGTACTGTAGCTGCTTCAGCGAGACTCCATGCATCTGGAACATCAAACAAGATGGAAATATTTTTACCCGGAATCTTTGTAGCTATTCCTTTACCATGACAGATTCCCATAACTCGTCTACCTGACTCAGTTATACCAGAAAATTCAGTACCAATTAGAGTTTCTACATTATTTGGTGGATAAGCATCGGCTGTTAATCGACCAGTTGCCAGTAAAACGTCTCTGAAGTTGAGAGTTGAATAGTGTGTGTCGACATTTTCATGTTTACAGTCTTCTTGCTCCATCTCGTTGTCCTCAACCATTCGAACTGATTCATCGTCATCCAAGCTTCTAAACCAAGTCAAACTGGTCAAATCTCCTCTTTTGCCCACATCAACATAACAATTAGTAGCTGAAGAGTGAATGTCCTCATCAATTGGTATATCATCCAAATGAAAAGTGCCCCAGTGTCCATCTAAATTTACATTCATTAACAAATCCTTCTCTAAAACATCTTGATCCAAATTTTTGAGGTCATCTCTAATTTTATTACCAGGCCAAAAGAAACAACGGATTTTATCACCAAATGGTTCAAAGCGAATGCATTTAACCATTCCAACAATTCCATTACGAACCGAATCATCAGCAATCAAGAAAACCTTTTCTATCTCTTTGTCATCTAGAGCGTCTTGGATATTCTCAACCCAAGTGTATGAAGATGTATCAATGCGAATAACTCGAGAAGCACCTTCAGACTTTTTTGGCCGTTTTTTGTACAGTAAAGAGACTAATCCTGTTTTTTCATGTCGACAAGATGCGATTGGAAGTAAATCCATTTGTTTCATTTTACTCTCGAGTCTCTTCTTAATGTCACCAAATTTAGCTGACGAGTTTACCTTACAAATTTGATCGATTTTTTTCTCAAAAGAAAGTAAATTTTCTCGATAATTTACCATCACAAAACTTCCAGGCTCAATAAATTGTAAAATTTTATCTTCATCGACACTTCCCTCCGAATGTCCACACAAGTTGAGACTTGAATGATTATAAATCAATAAGTCAATAGGTTTAGAAGGTTTACCTTCATCTTTTGGCATAGAAATCATTTCTCCACGAACGGCAAACGAAGATAACTTTCTTAAAATTTGGTCACAAGTTTGATCACTATTTGATCCAATAGACGCTACATTGACCATTTTTTTGCACAATTCACTTTCGTAAACATTCAATGTAAATCCCAAGACTCGATTTAAAACTGAATCCATTAAGTTATCTTTAATCAATATCGATGGATCAACCATCAATTTGGAGTTAAAATCAGAAGTTGACTTTTCTTTCAATGCTTTATGAATGGCTGTGAAAAGCTTGAATCGAGATTCCATCTTAATATAATTTGTCCATTCTTCTTTAGCATCTGATTCTTTTCCATAATTAGCCAATATTTCGTTACAATCGGTCAAGTAATCTGAAACCAAAGTTTCGGTTGTTGGCTGTAAGGTTAAACTGCTACAATGGTGAGGTTTAAAAGTTTGTCGAGCATATCTAAGGTCAGATTGTTCTGGCTTTTGAGGAGCTCCAGTGAATCGCAGTCCCTTCAGGAAAACTCCATACGTTGTTATCGTTCCCACTTCATGGCATAAATAAACTTCAAGTTCTGCCGTTTCATTTCCTTCCCCTTCTTTAACTGTTGGAACCATTTCAAGAGCTTCATTGAAAGCCTCTGGGTCATAGACAAACTCTTGGAAGCCAATTGGGACTCGAGGTGTTCTCATGGCTGTTGTAAGGCCACCAAGTTGCATAAATGAATCAGCTAAACCAATCCATCCACCAGAGTAGTTGATCCGAGCGTACTTGTGATCAGTACTGGTTGAAACAATGTTTCTCATCTTCTCTCCATAATGAAACCCTTGGATTTTCAGTCCAAGATAAAATCGATCTCCAGTCATTTCCAATGCTTCTGGGTTTGTTTCAACATTCATAAAATATTCAAAATCAACTGGCGACTCTTTACCAGTCAATTCACCGAAACCAGAGACACATACTTGATCTCTGAAGGCGACATTAAAATAGTGAGTAACTGGATTAAAGTAAACTTTGAAGATAGCTTCATCATTGATGATTGTTGCCCGATGAATCTTGACATCCCAAACTCGAAATCCATAATCCTTGAAATTAACAGAGTCACCATGATAATTGAAGACCATTGTTTTCCAGAGAAGGTAAATGTAGCCAACAGCAGGCATCAGAGTACGATCGTCATAGATGTGATGAGAAACCTCTTCATATTCAGGATCGGTTAGGTCTACAGTGAAGCACAGATTAGTCATGTTGTCATAAAACTCAACACACGAGCAAACTTTATGCTGATTCGAATGATCCCAAATCAGGAATGGGGACAAAGATGGAGTTTGACGACCGATAGGGAAAGTCATCGATGGGTAAAGGGTTGAGATATCGACATTTTGACCAGAAAGGTAAAGACTACCTAAAGTTATCAAAAATTGAATAACATCTTCATTTGAGTTTTTTACTTGTTTTAAGCTATTATGTGCAGGGATTTCATTTCCCATTAGTCTGATTTGTCCGTCTATATTGATCATTATCCATTCATCTAACGATAATTCCTTGTTATTGAGGTCATTGTGAGATGCGATGTGAACATGAGTTTCATTTGAAGCCAGTGAAGAATCAGTGAAACCATTGAGAAGTTTGGAGTATTTGTCCAAAACAGTTTTAGATGAAGGTGTTAATGGAGTTGCTTTATTTGTTAGATATTTAATGGCAGCGGTTAAAGCAGAGTTTCGGCTAAGTTGACTTGACGCATAACGAGATGATATGCTGCCACTTGAAGAACTGATGACTAAATCGGGTTTGATTCCAAGAGAGCCAAGTAAGTCAATCAGAGCTATTTGGTAAACAACATTTCTAACAACTGCAGTTGATTGTTCATTTTTAGATTTTAGATGATTTTTCGTGGACATATCCCCAAGATCGACGCCTTTGGATTTTAAAAATGATAAACTAGATTGAAGTGAATCACGGAAAACTTTGAATCTTGATAATCCATGATATGAGGGACAAGGTGAATCGTTGAAAACAAGACCAACATTCCTCGAGTTGCTGACTAGACTAGTTTTCTGGTGATCGATTTTACCATTTTCAGATATTATTGAATAACCTCGCCAAACCAGTCCACTCTCAGGCTTAGCGAGTGATAATTCATTCAACATAGCAATTAAATCTTCATTCAAAGCATCTTTGGTTAATAAATGTTGAGCCATTCCTTCGATACCTTGGCGAGTGCGATTACAAAAAACGATTAACCTAGGAAACAGTGAAGAGTCTAAAGGCCTAATCTGCTGGGTATTTCCCTTTAAAATGATGTGCCCATTAGATCCACCAAAGCCAAATGTGTTGACTCCAAGAATGTTTGCGTTAAATTGTTGTTTCTCAAGAACGGGAATTATTTTCCCTTCCAATAGACCAGATATTCTCGAGTTGGGGACCGAGTAAGCAGCGTTTGGAGATAAATGCGATGTTTGTAAAATTTTACAGGCTCTTATGACGGCATTGATTCCAGCAGAAGCTTCAGCATGTCCAATGTTTGACTTTATACATCCAACTTTGATGGGTTGATCACTATTATCTCGATAAGCATCTAGAATGGCTGAAGTTTCAACCGCATCACCAGCCTGAGTTCCAGTTATATGAGCTTCAATGTAATCAATTTGGGAAGGAGAAATGTTGGCTATTTTAAGTGCTGATCTCATTGCATCGGCTTGAGCATATCGATTGGGAAATGTAATTCCTTCTTCTGTGTAACCATCATTATTAACGGAGGTACCTAAGATTTCACCATAGATTCGTTTAGCTGCTGGTTTACGCTGAAGAATCAAGGCTGCAATTGTTTCAGAACGAATGAAACCGTCTGCATTTTCATCGAGACAACGTTCGAAACCAGATTGTGAAAGCATTTTCATGTCTGCAGCTGTCATGTTCACGAATGGATCAACAATAGTGTTTACTCCAGCAACTACAGCTACATCACACAAGCCGTGTTTTATATGCCAGTGAGCTTGAATAATGGCGTCTGCTGTTGAAGCGCAAGCAGTATCAAGTGATAAACATGGACCTTTCCAGTTAAAATGATAAGCTAATCGAGAAAATATGTAGACTGGATCGGTAGTTTCATCCAAGTCATACTGATCTGACCCATCGCCAGCTGAGATTCCGAGGAAAAAACCAGTGCGAGAACCTCGAAGAGAATCCACAAGAATCCCTAATCAAATGAAATTGAAATGCGAGAGAATCAAAAGAGTTAATGGCATTATTAATGGCAAATTAAGAGTAAAGTTGTAACAAAATAATAACAATAAATAAAAGGTTGAGCTGAACTTTACTTTACAGTAATGCAATTTTCTATGCACTTGACATTCAAGCGAATCAATCAGTCAAAATTTTTCCCTAACTATTAATAAATGATTCATTGATATTTTCATTTGAAAAGTGTTGGTAAAGGATTACACAGTTGCACGCAAATCATCAATCAAATACGATAATGATATCTGTACTGAAATTGAATCAACTTTGTCTTTCATTTCAGTGAATAAGAGCAATGATCTTACCAGCATCCCAAAGGGCTTCGTAGACAACTTCAAATAGCACACGATTTTGAGTTCCCATATGTTCCGCTGCTTTTGCATCGTAACCAAAAAATTGTGCGTCAAAACGGGACAGATCATTGATTTGTCCAAGCGCTGTCGGCCTGTTTCTCAATTCTTAAAAAGAAAGCGATTGTTGGTAAAATAATTAATCATGAGAATAGCAGAGCTATTAAATAAGTTGTTTTACAAAGTTGCTCAAAAGTTGTACTTACTCGAAGGATGACGATCACGTTCCTCAGAATAGAGAACCTTTCCTTGTAATAATTTATCCCAAAGTTGATCAACATCATCTGCACCGGGGAATCTTCCAGCTAAACCAGAAATTACAATTGTATTTTGCTCAGGCATTTTAATGTGAACAAAACAGAAAGATTTTTAAAAATTGGATCAACTTTTGAAAAATTAAATTAAACTAATGAAGAGTAGGAAATTGTGGGTTTACTATGAAAAGCCGTTGGTTGTGCAGCAAGGAAAGAGCAACTCGAGAATCAACGATCACAATTACAGGAAACCTAATCGCTGTTGGTGAGATGCTAATGAAAATAAATCATTTAAATGACGGGCTTTAGAGGAAGTATTTCAAATTTTCAATTGCAGACCATAACAATAGTATGGAAATCACCTTTGAATCTTTATTTAAATTCAACTAGAGCTTATTTTCTGGTAAAATTTTCAGATTTTGCTGGTGAATCCATAAAAAAATGCAATGTTAGGTTGTTAAAAGCACAAATGTCACATTTATAAAACAAATTGAAACAAATGAGAGAAAACAGGTGAAAATTAATTTCCTTCAAATTTAGACTCATTGGTGTTTGTATGGACAAAAAACTGAACCCATCTGTGCGATTTAAAAGTTTCTCTGACCAAAAGTTTTCGAGAAAATCGAGGTCTAACTTGAAACTTCGATCAATTTTTGTACAGCTACGGAAGCACATTTTTTCATGAAACTTATTCAACTGGCTTTACATCTGATGATCAACCAAAAAATGTACTTATATTATCAAATAAAGTTTTATATTTTCAGTAAAACTGTTCAGTTCGATTTTCAATAAAACCGATCACATTCTGTGACCATAAAAGTTAGAGAGCTCAAACTTATTATTCGTGCATAAAACTTGATGGGTCACAGCATGGATCAAATACTTTTTTCTGTTTGGCGATAGATCTCTCGCTTTTGGCCATTTACCTAAAAACTTTGAACAACAATATTTCGAGAATGGCATCAACTACAATCATCATTCTTTGGTCAAACATTAGATTTAACTATGGGCTAAAATTTGTTGAAATATTGAATTATTCAAGATCTTACAGAATAAGCTATAGCATTTCATTACGTTATGTTGTCAGATTTAAGCTTGATAAGTTATAAAAAGCAGTTAAATGCAGCTTTAAGAAGATTTGGGTTAAAGAAAGCACAATTTTTAGGTATTAGAAGAATATTGTTTATTAAATGAATTAACCCGAATTATTTATTGGATATTCAGACATAGTATGTTATAGCCCATAGTTAAACCTAATGTTTGGCCAAAGAATGATGGTTGTAGGTGATGCCATTCTCGAAATATTGTTGTTCAAAGTTTTTAGAAAAATGGCCAAAATCGAGAGATCTATCGCCAAACAGAAAAAAGTATTTAATCCATGCTGTGACCCATCAAGTTTTATGCATGAATAATAAGTTTGAGCTCTCTAACTTTTATGGTCACAGAATGTGATCGGTTTGTTTAAAAATCGAACTGATCTGTTTTACTGAAAATATAAAGCTTTATTTAATAATATAAGTACATTTTTTGGTTGATCATCAGACGTAACGCCAGTTGAATTAGTTTCATGAAAAAATATGCTTCCGTAGCTGTACACAAAACGATCGAAGTTTCAAGTTTTACCTCGATTTTCTCGAAAACTATTGGTCAGAGAAACTTTTAAATCGCATAAATGGGTTCAGTTCTTATGTCTCAACAAACCAACAGTCTATTCATTTGAAGAAAATTTATTTTTACCCATTTTTGGCCATTTGTTCAATTTGTGTAAATTTTTAATTTGGCGTGTTGGCAAAAACTGAAAAAATGAATTTCTTTCCATTTGAGTTTAATAATAATAGTTTAGACTCTGTAGTTTGGTAGGGACATGGAAATTGACTCCATTCATGTGATTTAAAAGTTTCTCTGATCAATTGTTTTCGAGAAAATCGAGGTCAAACTTTAAACTTCGATCGATTTTTGTACAGTTGTGCGGCCAGATATTTCCATGAAACTTATTCCTCTGATGTAACTTTCGATAACCAATCAGAAAATGGGCTTATTTTAAAGAATAAAGTTTTCTGTTACTTGCGAAACAGATCAGTTCGATTTTAGGTTAAACCTGATTCTTCGAGTGACCGCGAAAGTTAAAGAGTTGAAACTCATTTTCTGTTGATAAAAGTTGTTGGTGAATACCAATATGCAGATACTTTTTTCAGTTTATGAATAGTTCTCTTAATTTTGACCATTGGTCTTTAAACTTTGAACATCGATATCTCAAGAATGGTAGCGCTTGCAATCGCCATTCTTTGACTAATCATTAGACTATACAATGGCTATAATATTATATAATTAAATATCAGAAAAAATGTAACCTAATTCCATGAATAACGAATATCCATCTAACACATCATGAGGTTTGTGTTTGGATAACCATTTGCCTTTATAACGCATTATTGTAAACCAGGAAGCAAATCTAACAACATATTAAGTAGAAGTATAATATTACCAGCATAAAGTACAAAGTATAATGTTTTTCGGATCTCGAAGCATCAAATATTTCAATATAACATATCTCAGGATAGAATCTAATAATTGTTGAAAGAATAATGATTATAAGTGCGACCATTCTCGAGATATCGATGTTCAAAGTTTTTAGACAGATAGCTAAAATAAAGAGAACTGTTTATAAAGGAAAAAAAGTAACTGCATATTGATCTTGACCGACGATTTTTATGAGTTTGAAAATGAGTTTTGACTCTCTAACTTTTGCGGTCACTCGAAGAATCAGGTTTAACCTAAAATCGAACTGATCTGCTTTACAAGAAACAGAAAACTTTATTTCTCAAAATAAGCTCATTTTCTGGTTGGCAATCAAAAGTTACATCACAGAAATAACTTTCATGGCAAAAACTGATCACACAACTGTGCAAAAAGCGATCGAAGTCTCAACTTTGAACTCGATTTTCTCAAAAACTGTTTATCAGAGAAACTTTTAAATCGCATAAATGGGCTCAATTTCTATGTCCCTACAAACCAACATTAGTCTAAATTTGAAGGAATCTATTTTTACCCGTTTTAGCTTATTTGTGCCGATCCGTTACAATTTGTGTATAAATGTGACGATTGTGTTAATTGCGTCTTTTTAGTAACAATTGCAAGCTTCTAAAACTTGAAACCAGAAAATCAAGACTATTTGAAATCAAAGTGCATGGAATAGAATCTATGGTAACGAAATGAAGATAAAATAATTAAAATATTTAAATTGTCACGATTTTGAAAATTTTTATCCAAATGTTTTTCCCACTTCATGATTTTTTCACGGATAAACTTTGTCACTTTTTTCCAACTTTGAATAACTTCAGATACTATCGAAATTGATAAATCGTTCATAAGATGAACAAAAATAGCATGAAATTTCTTGAATATTATTTCAACAAATTATCATAAAAATTGTGAGTATCCAAAATTTTGTAACATTGAATTAGCATTAAAAATCTTCAAGCTTCGATTTTCTGTTTAAATTTGAAATTACCAAAAATTTGTTCTGGTCTTTATTGTTTGGGTTCATAAACATCAACAAAAATAACAAAATTGATTGGCATTTCAATTAAATGCTAAAACAATCTTTTCAAAGACAAACAGGAATCACTTGCGTTTTCAGGTTTACCCGTTTTTTACCAACAATTTATCATGCAATCTTTAGACTCTAATTGTAGCAGTTAATGAAAATGAATCTCGAGATCATTTGAATTCATAAAATATACTAAACTTCATTGTACAAGGTTATGTGTTATAATAAAACTTTTCAGCTGGCTTTAGTGCCATATAATGGATTGAAAGTAAAGGTAGTAAAATAGGAAAAAAAGTAATTATTGATGTTGAAACAAAAATGATGGTCAAGGTAAGATGATTAAATATCAGTTTTCATTTTCACAGCAAAGTTTATAAGCCAACTGTTGCCTGTAAATGATGCTTATAATGATATGAGGTTCTCTCAAAAATACCCTGTAAACATTGATGATTAAGATGGAAGAGAGTTGAAAACCAGTTTTTTGACACTTTTCCCACTCTTTCAGTTTCACTCCTTGCCTTGAAACTTTTCTGCCTTTTATTCATTTAGGTTATTCATTGAACCAATCCTGTAAGATTTTTATTTTACTTTGTTCATGCTTGAAAATGATATTGTTAATGATATTCACTTAAAGCTAGAGCGTAAAGAAGCCTCGGGAATAGCAGTTGCTTTACTTATTCATTGTCAAGACTGGTTAACTAACATATTGATATTGATTTAGTCTCATTTCCAACTGTGATCTCAACTTTATTACCTTAATTCACTCTTCAGTTTATCTTCTGATTATCCCTCGATTCATGTTGAAACCATTTTTCGATTTACTTTGGTTGAAGAAGGAAAAAAATCGGAAAAGATGTTTGCCTTAAATGAATGTAAACGTTTATTATTACCATCATCATTGAATGATATTCAATTTTTCGTTAACTGTCACCATTTATTAATCAAAATTTCCTTCTCTCATTGTCATCATATTTGCTGACAATTTGAATGTTGACCTTTTACTATTGTTTGTGAAGGTTTCCTGGGCTTGAAGCCCATTTACATTATTAAATTTGTTTAAGTGATTTGTATCTGTGATCAATCAATGGAGGAAGAGGAAATTGTTGCTGTGAAAGTTCGTAAGCTTCAAGTCTCTTATGGACCTAAAATTGCTCGCAATGTTGTTCTCAACGATGTTAATATAACAATACCAATGGGCAGGATATATGGACTTCTTGGACCGAGTGGATGTGGTAAAACAACTTTACTTAAGTGTATCATGGGATGTCGACTTCCAGATCAAGGTGACATCTCAATCTTTGGTTGTAATGTAAATTCACCTGAAAGTGGAGTTCCTGGTGTTGGGGTTGGATTTATGCCTCAAGATATTGCTCTTCACGATGACCTGACTGTTGAAGAGATGCTCATCTATTTTGGTAACCTTTACCTTATGCCACCAAAAATACTTTGCCAGCAAATTAACCTTTTACTTAAACTATTTGATATTCCTGATCGACATCAGTACATTGGAACACTTTCTGGTGGCCAGAAACGGCGAGTTTCCCTAATGTCTGCTTTAATTCATAGACCAAGATTGTTGATATTAGATGAGCCAACAGTTGGAGTTGATCCAGCACTAAGAGAAAGGATTTGGAAGTTTCTAGTCCAGCTTACGGTTGAGGAAAAGATAACAGTGATTATTACTACTCATTATATTGAAGAATGCCGAAGAGCTGATTTAGTAGGATTCATGGATAAAGGAAATGTTCTGGTGGAAGGACCTCCAAAGGATTTAATGGAAAAATACTCTTGTAAATCATTAGAAGAAGTTTTGTTTCGCATTTGTGTCAGCAAAAGATTGAAAAAATCTAAACGTAGTAAAAACCAAGTTTGTGACAAAAGTGACATAAGTGATGATGACGACGACTATCTAAATTTTCCGAAAGAAACGATCTCAAATTATCCAATGTCTATTGACAGTGTTAAAATGGTGCGATTGGACAATCAAAATACTCATAACACCAGTGAAATAAAGGAACATAACCAGTCCAATGGAAACGGCGAATCAACCTCTTCAAAAGACATTCACATTGAAAGTAGTTGCAATGAACAGTTTGATGAGACAATTTCCTGTGAAGTGTTGCCATCCGACGGGAATAACAATTCAAATGATAAGGCCAACAGTCAAGTAAATGTACCTAAACTGGCTCTCTTCTCACAATGTAGATCTTCAGCGTCTTCAAATTCATCGGATAGCTCATCAACCTCATCATTAAACTCACCTCTATCCTCTTCACCTGCACCAATGGCAGATGAGGTCGATGATTGGACAATGCGCTTTCGCTGTTTAGTCTGGCGTCAGTTGATTCAAAATGTACGCAGACCCGAGCCAACAATGGGTCGTATAATTGTTCCTCTGCTTGTTGTGATAACCTATTGTGCTTGTATCGGTGGGACACCTGAAGGTCTTAAAATGGGTATAATAAACCGTGAAAACTGTTCCGCTTTGGCACCAGGAGAGCCTTGTTTGAGTCTAAGATTGTTGCAACAATTTAATTCCTTTGTGTTCAACAAAATTCCCTATGAAAGTGTAACTAAAGCCAGGGAAGATGTTAAATCTCGGAATCTTTGGGGCTACATGGTCATCAGGTCCAACTTTTCCTCGTCAATCATTTTAAAGACGCGATTTGCTGAAAAGGAGTTTGACAAGGTAGCAAATGATTCCATCGTTAAAATTCATGGAGACATTACTGGTAAAATATTAATGATTACTGTTGAAGTAACCATCGATGAAATTTATCAGGATTTCATTTTTGCTGCCCTTCGTGATAAAGGTTTAAACCCATTTGTAGGCCAATTGCCCATCAAGTTGCAGAAAACCATTTTCGGAGAGAAACAAAAAGTCGATTATCTTGGTGTTAGAGGATTTGGTGGACCAGGATTGATTGTCATCATTACATATTCAATTTCTTGTGCCATCATGGTTCTGGTAATAATCACGGATAAAACAGATGGAATGTTTGAACGCAATTATGCAGCTGGTGTTTCAATTGGTCAGATAATAATCTCTCATGTAACAACTCAGTTTCTTTTCTCGTCAATCTCAACTTGTATCATCTTCTTCCTATCCATTTATCTGCTCGAGATTCCCTGTAAAGGTTCGCCTCTCGAAGCTTTGGGTTTGTTGCTTCTCCAATGTTTAGCAGGAATAGGGACAGGACTGTTGGTTGCTTCAGCATTACCGACTTTATCAGCGTGTGCAGTTGTTTGTAACGCCATTTTACTTGGATCTTTCACTCTCTCAGGAGTCTTATGGACTAATACAACTCTTCCGTATTATGCGAAATGGGCAACCATGTATTTACCGGCGACTCTACCTGCTGAGGGACTCCGAACCATTATGACTAGAGGGTTACCAGCATCGACTCCAGTTGCGTATCAAGGATATTTGATAACTTTAGCATGGATTGTTGGACTTCATCTTGCAAGTTATAAAGTATTAGCCTTTGTTAAAAGATGATCAAAGGATTCAAATGAAATTATCAATAGATTTTGATTATTTACAAATGTTTATATGTTTTAAATTACGATTGTAAATTGTGAAAGTTATTTTATTAAACCAATGTTTCCAAGCTTTTTGCTGGATTCAAATATTGAAGCTGCCACTTGTATTGAATTAATCATAGAAACCTCATTGAGCTCACAACTCTGAACTCTCCGTGGATTGATATCCAATAAATTAACACATTTAGACTTGATTATAAAAGGAAAATTAACATAAATTAATGTTTCGGAGGCATAAAGCTGCTAATAGTTTTCGGAATGGCAACCAAGAAAAGTTAGGTTGCCAGAAGATATTAATATTTAAGAATTGTTAAAGCCCAGTTTTGACAATGACATAGTTAAGTGATGAAAATTTAAGGATATTACAGAACAGGAAACAAATTAATTATTTTGATGTGTTGAATCAAACTTGGGAATTGAATCATAAATTGAAAGTTATGTTGAATACCTTTAAAGAGCAATGCGCAAGTTAGCAGACAAAGTCTCTTGATTTGCTGTTACCCATCAAAAAGAGTGATATTAAGCTCAGCTGTAATAGTGAACTGTATTTCGTTTTTTTCTCATCTTTTCATTTCGTGTTAATGAACAGAACAAGTCTAATTGTTATTTATTGATTAATCGTTTTTCTTCTGAATCTTATCTAATTTATTAACTTGAATTGCTCTACGTATTTCATCAATTGCATTTCCATGTCTATAACCATGCTCTGTGTGCTACAATGATCTCATTGACTTTCTAATCGTGATTTCAGCCAGTAATCTCAATTAATTAGTTGTAATATTTAGTTAATCTTCTATTCTAATTATTTAACGAGATGGCTCTCATCACTTTACGGGATTTACGTAAAGTCCTTCATCCACATTATCTGGTCAACATTATTCTATCGCTCTCATTCATCCTCATGAGAAAAATTCATCCCTTCTGTACATACTTGTTTGACTCTTGCTCATTAAACCACGTTAGTACCTTTAAGTTAAAGCTAATCATAATGTTACAAATTGAAGATTAATTAACCCTCGTGTTCTATTCCAGAAAGAAAGTGAAATCTTGTTCTTCGCTGCTATTATAATTGTATTCAGAACTAGGAAACAAGGTTTGTCATATTGAATTATCCGAGTGAAGTATCTAATGTTTACTAATCAATGTTTACAAAGGTGCTGTCAATTTTCTTCCATACATTGGAACTGCCTGTATGTTTTCAAAATTGGCTGGATTACTTCTTTGGTTTTTAGCCGATCCTTTGTACGGAGTATTGTTCGCAGTTCTTTGCCTACGTAAGACTTTTATTTCCTGTGAGAAATCCATGTTTAATGCAGTTTTTTTTTCATTGCAGTTCACCTTCTTTTGATGCCTGAACCCTGTTACAAAGGGCCAGAAAATATGACATATTTTAATGGAAACGATCTTGAAGAAAGCATAAAACGAGAAAAAGGGACTGTTTGGCTGATTGAACTTTACGCAGCTTGGAATCCTACTTGTATTGAATTTGCACCTACCTTCTCAGAACTTTCAGCAAAGTTAGTTATTGCGCTTATTCAATGCTCCTTAATTATGGACAACTCCTTTCTATTTTCTTTGAATAATTCTCATTTTCATTTCATCTATCATTTTTTTATAGTTACGCCTTAGACAATCTCAAGTTTGGTAAAGTTGAACTATCGAGAAACCCTGAAGTTGCTGATAAATACAAAATTAACACTTCCCCATTGAGTAAACAAATGCCAACTTTAATTCTGGTCAAAAATGGTAAAGAAGAAATGAGACGGCCTTTGGTCTCAAATAACGGAAAACTTGTCACATTCAATTTCAACTATGTGAGTATCTAAGCAAGATTCTTAACTTTCATTATTATTGTTTCCAACCTTATCATCGTCTACGGTATATGACTAATGTATTTTATTTTCGCTTCATTTCAGGCCAATGTAGTCTCAACATTTGACCTCAACAATTTGCACATTGACTGCAAAAAAGCGTTAAAAGATAAAAGTAAAACAAAGCAACATCTAAAAGATGAATAGATATAGCTGACCTGCGATTTATTGCCTTTTAATAGTTCATTTAACCTAATATACTTCTTTATATGCTTACCAAAGCTAATCGTACCCAGTGATTTTGTATTTCAAGTGTTAGTCGGCAATTTTTTCTATTTATCTTTAATGTAAATTAATGATAACCATAAAGGTTATTTTAGTTAAAATATCTTTTGTGCTCACTCATAATACAAAAATTGATGTATAATCACGGGCAAAAAAACATCCTTCAGACTCAATTTATTGCTACATGTATTGGCGTTCCTTACATTATAATCGACAGCCATAAGAAATAATGGACCATAAATCAGCCTATTAACTTCATCACCGTCATTATTTATCTATAATTGTTCAGACCATTTTTAATGGTTTCAGGAATTATGAATTATTTTTCATATTAAGCTAGATTCAATCTCAGAAAATAATTTTATCTTTCTCGGAATTGATCAATTGCTTTTAGATAGAACAATGTTCATTGTAATTTTTTGAGTGGAGTATTTCATGTGTTCAATCCATTCAGTGACATAAGCTGAAGAGACATTTTATATAATAATAATAGGAAACGTGAGGTAGGTTGACAATAATAGTGAAATTGGATGAGCGTGAATGGATTAGAATAAAATCTCGTAAATGCTTTATTTTCAAATTTGTGCATTTAAATGTTGAGTAAAATGCTTTAAAAGAGATGGAAAACAATTAAAAACCAGGAGAAGAAAGAAAACCGAAGGAAAATAGATTAGCTGACAGAAATTGTCTGTTTACAACAATACACAATTTACAGTTAAATTTAACCACAAACAATTCAATGCTGAGCAACTTAAGCATGAAACTGTTGATTCGGCTCTCAAAATTTTGAAAATTAATGATAATCTGAATATTCTGAAAACTTCCTCAATGAATAATTACATAATTACTGACGAGACTAGATGTTTCTAGAGTAAAACATTGGAAGAAAAAAAAATATTGACATGAAAAGGAACTTAATAAATCATACAGAAAAAAAATCCATATGGACATGAGTTAAAATTTTCTTGGATTTAACCACAATGATGATTTCTAGGAAATTGATAACAAGAAGTTTTTAGTCAGATAGAATCATTTTTGTATAATTTCAGGTAACAAAGGCTCTGGAAGATTAACTTGGTCTGAGTCAGCATCAAATTGACCAGACATTAATGGATTGTTGAGTAAATCACTGTTTGAGGAAACTGAATCCTCATTCGTTGTATTTACAGCTGGTTTTGTGTTTGATAGTGAAGACGATGAAGGTGGTGGTGGTGGTGATGGTGCTGTTAATTTTGTAGATGAATTTGATGATGGAGGAAAATCTTCAATTTGAACCAGAATACCTTCTTTGTTTGGTTGAGTTAAATCATCATAGAGAGGACTTAATGTTACTCTTGATCCAAACACTTTTCTCCTAAGCTCTTGAGACACAGTAATTTGAGGCATTTTCGATACAGAATCAATTTTGGACATCATTGAATCTCGAAAAGATTTCATCTTCTCTTTCAATTCACGAACTTCTGTTTCAAAGGTGGTATGTTTTTCCGTCAATGATTTAAGAAGAACAGCATTACTATACATAATTCTCAATGGTTCACTAAGATAAGCTGATTGTTGAATATAACCAGGAGGAAGAGCTTCACCATTCAAGTAAATTTGAAAATCTTCTTCGGGAAGGTTAAGAGATTCACCATTGAGTTTCTCAATAAAAGCAACAGCACAACAGAGGTTGGTGAAATAATAACCAGCCTCTCCCGACATCAGGCGCCTTGGATTCGAGAAGCGATTAATGAACTTAATATTGGAATGGAGTAATGGCGGATTAGCTTTAATAACAACAAATACTAAAGCCGGAAGAAATTGATCAGCAGAGACAGGGCCATTTCGCGCAACTTGTAATAATTCAAATATAGCTTTGGAGCAGTTAACAATACATTCTAATTTTTCTAAAGGAATTTGTTTTGATCCCATTTCAATTATATCAGATATTGCTTTATCTAATAAATCTCGTATCTCTGGATTCCTTAAATCAAGCTCCAATTCAAGGTGTTCCGTCATAATCCAATTGAGACTTTTGATTCGCTTTTGCATTTTAAGATCTTTTTCCTCATCTTCAGTCAAAATTCGGGTAAAAATTGGATTGTACAGTGTACTGAGTAGCCTAGTTTCAGTATAATCAACTAATTGGTCAATAGATTCTTGGACAACTTCCTCATATATTGCATTTGATGCAAAACGATCAGCCATCGAAGTATAAAATTCATAAACGACTTCACTCATTTCTTCGATAGTCGACAAATTGTGTAACTTGTCAATAACTTTGGCAACTTGTTTATGAATATCTTCCAGTGGACCGTCAGTAGAATTGCTAGACGTTAAAGTTCCTAATACACTAGAGCCAACAGAGCTTGAAGTTATTCGGTTAAGAACATCATCGCCAGCTAATGATAAAGAATCAAGACTAAAAAAATTTTGCTGCTTTAACGCTGTTAAACGACTGGCTGCAGATGCTGGTAAGGAAGAATTAATTGATCCGGTAGATAATTTAGAGTTTGAACCATCTCTAAGGCCTGATGAACCACGGGAAGAAAGCTTAAAAATTGATCGCAAAGTTTTACTCCGTTTTTCAACTTGTTGTTTCTTTTTTTCCTCAAATTTCGTGAAACTTGACGGAGAAGTTGAAGTTGGATGACCTGTTGAGGATGATGCTAGATGGGAAGATGAAGATGAATTTGGCGATCCAGATGAGCCCAGAATTGGCGAGAGGCGGGATGTTAGACCAGGTAAACTTTCATTGAGAGATGCCAGTGAATCACTTTTAGATTTTTCATGTTTGTTTTTGCAGCATTTTTTATTGTTAGGTGAGAGAAAAGAAAAAGTAGAAATTAGTACCATGATATAAATTAAGAACGAAATGAAGGAAAACAGACAAAATCAATAAATAATTTGAATAGCTAAATGAGAGAAAATTAAAACTAAAAACTAGAAAAGGGCAATAGCAAAAGGCAGAATCAGATAGTAAGCACAATATGAGAACATCGACATCTTTTTATCTATCGTAGATTATTTTGGTATTTTCAATCATTTTGACAACTTTCCAACTGATTGTTTACTGTAACCAGACAGTGAAGATAAGGAAGATAATTGAACTAATATTTTGTTTAATTAGATAAAATGATTTCTCGGAAAGGGCAAGTCAAGCATGAGAAAAAAGGCAATGGAAAAGTAAATAAAAACATGATCTAAACTCACCTTTTACTAAAATTTTTAGATGGTGATGATGTTGATCTGATTAGAGAGGAACGATTTTTATAGCACATTGAACAAAATCCATCCCATTCTGGGTTACCATAATAGCCACAATTGGCTTTACAAAGAAGATTTTTATCATCAAAAACAATACCAGTCTTTTTCATCATCATTTCAATCCAAAGGATTTGTCAGTACACCTTTCCGTTTTTTTGCCACTGTAATTCCTTAGTTGATCAGCTAATTAGAAATGCTATGAGTATAGATGGCATATATATTTACAAATAACAACATCAATTAAAGCAGACTAGTTAGCAAATCAAGTTGATTTAAAAGACATTTGTGAACACCAAAAGAATACAGAGTAAACACAGTGAAAAGATATGGAGGAAGGGAAGGTGAAGTCATCTTATGTTTATGTTTATTTTTGTATTTTTCTTCCTTCTCATTCGCTCAGAATGAACCGCGATAATTTAATTGGGAAATTGATGTACATCATGTAAATCGACAAATTGTGTGAGTCAATATTAATTAATGTAATGGACATTGTAACAATCAAATCTTGGATATTAAAGGCTTAATAAAAAATGCTCTAATAAATAAAGATAATCATTTTTAAATTTTGTAGGCCTTGATATATTGATTATTGATTAATCACTATTATAACTTAATTGACTTTTCTTATTTGTATAAAATTTGACTGCTATATGTTTTTTAAATTACTATCATTAGAGTTGGCTGGTACTAGATTAAGTGTAATACTGTTTGACATTTCACCGATGAGAATTGCCGAATGAAAATTTCGGTTCAATCTCCATTATTCTTCTTGTTAACGTTTCTTAAATGGTTTATTGTTACGTTTAATTTCACTTTGAATTAATAGAAACATGTATATTTTTTATTTCATCAAGATCATGAATATTTCACACACCTTATTTAGTTATTCATGATACAATTGAATATTCACCGGGGTTACATCAATAACACTTTTTAACCATGGAGACTGAATGAATCAGAAGATGGCTGAAAAGTTGAGTTATAAAGTTGTTAAACAACTAATTATTTTGCGTTGTTAGAAATTATATGGAAAAATGGAAGAGACTCTGCGAGCTTGGCTCGTATCGGATCGAGAAATTGATTAAAAAACTTCCAATTCATCAGAGGGTGGCACTTTGTCCTTGTGATTAACCAGACTGGCTTCTTCGGATCGAATTGGCAAATGAACGCGAATGTGAACATGTTCGTCATCGCTTGCTTTTGCCTGCAACAAAAATTTCAATAGATTTAAATACACCCATTTTACGTAAATACATCGTTAGAGATTTTAATATACCTTAATCAAGTAGTTGGTTCCATTTACAATTTGAGACTTGTAACTTACTGCACTGAGCTGCTCAAACTCTCGATTAAGTTTACGTTCAAGTTCCGGTTTCACCTGGGCTACGATACGATGAGTTAAATCATCAGCATCTTTAGTTTGACCCCAACCTCCACATAGCATCGGCATTTTTTACTGAAAAGGAAATTAAAATTAAATGAAAGACAATATAATGATCATATACATCAATAAGTCATAGAAGAAGGTTGAAAATAAAATCAATATAAAGCTGGAAGAAACACATCGAGACTAGATGAGAGGGCAGAACATGGAATCAAATTAACTGAAGTGAAAGTTGAGCTATCAGATATTTTCAACGGAATAACAAATTCTGAAGATACAGATGCAAATAGAATTAAGAAACTCTTGTTAAAACTTAATAAATCAAGGTTAAACTTCCTGAGCTTAAAATTTAAAATTAATAAACACTTACTTTTTAAAGAAACGAATAAACAGCTTTAATCCGAGAAATTCAAACAATTTACTTTTTAGCGATTAAATTTTTTTTAGAGTAGACAAAACAAAAATGGCTATTACCAATGAGCGATGACTACGCCTTTACGATTAATCGGTTGATCAGACTTCAATCATATGTCTCAAAGCCAATCATTATTTAATTGAAAATTTTGATTGTTAATTTGATAAGTTGACTAAGGATATTGAATTAAATGCCAAAAAGCTACATGCAATGAATTTTAGCAATCAATAAATTAAATTTTATCGATACTTTTAAAAATTACTAAATTCATCCACAAGATGGCACTAAATGCTAATGCTTTCAGTGCCATCTAATAGCATTAAGTAAAACAAATCTCTGAAGCCCGAAACTCAAATTATGATTGAATTGGAAAGTTTATCTACATTAATCATATTAAATATTGATTGTGTTGATTTGTAAACATTCAGCATTCGATTTTTATAATTTTAAAGCACAAAACTTGAAGAATCTTAGATAAATCAAAGATTGAATATAGCATCCTTCAAGAAATTGAAGAGTACTCTTGATGAACTGATTCAATGGTTCAGATTGTTTTCAGTTCTGAATTTGATCAATTTCAGTAAAACAATAAAATCTGCTTATTGCCAGATTGACATAGAAAATAGTTTAATTCAATAATTTGCTCAAATTCACTTTGCAATGTCTTTTTATTCAAATCAAGAAAAGCAATTTAAAAATATATTATGTAGTAGAAACCAAGAAAATTTCATAATTTTGTAAAATCTAATTCTCTTAATAATTAATCAGTAACGATTAAAGTTGTTAGTAATTTCCTCGATTAATAACTTGAAGATTCAAATGATTGATCCGAGGATAATTGAAGGATTTTGAAGAAAAATTGCTTTATTGAGCATCCCAATGGAACTCTGACGTGTCGATATGAAGATTGCTTTCATTCCCTAGCTTCTTGTTGGCAAATCTTTTTTTAACCGACTCTTTAGGTTAATCTAAACAGTCTCCTATTAATTTTTGATTAATTGTTCTGGTCACTTGACCAACTTTTGTCATTTATTAAGGAATTGATTAATTAATCTGTTTTGTTGTTGGTCATTCAAAGTTGCCACCATTAAGTACATTTGTTTCGCCATCATATCAGAAACAACATCAGCCTATTCCTGTAGTGGGCATTATAAACATCCTTCTTCTTCACCTGTTCACTACCACTAGAAAGAAAAGATGTCTTCAAATAAATTAATTACTGTTATATTTTTAATTTGTCTATCAGCCTATGTGTCCTGTGCTCGTAAGAAATCAGAGGTAATTGTCAATCATTAACCAAAATTTGTGTTACTTTCAATTTCAATTGTCTAACAGCTCTTATTGCAATAATGCATTGTGTATTCCTTTATTTTCATTTCATCAGAATACCCTTTCTCTTGGTGAACGTGTTGGACAATTAACTGAGTTGTCCCTTCGTAAACCTGTAATACGTCTAAATGGTGACAAATTTAGACAATACATTGGAGCCAAAAGTTTACCCCGTAATTACTCATTTGTTGTAATGCTGACTGCCTTGTCACCCCACCGTCAATGTACTGTTTGCCGACTAGCTATGGAAGAATATAGTATTGTCGCTAATTCATGGAGATATTCACCATTATTTTCAAATAAATTATTCTTTGGAATGGTTGATTTCGATGAAGGATCGGATGTTTTCCAACTATTGGGCATTGGATCAGCACCAGTTTTCCTCTATTTCTCAGAGAAGGGTAAACTCAAGTCCCCAGAAGTTATGGAGATTGAAAGAAAAGGTTATGCTGCCGAAACCATAGGAAAATGGGTCTCTGAGCTATCACAATTACCAATTAGAGTTATTAGACCACCTAATTATTCAACTACATTGGCGATCATGGCTCTTATGATGATTGTTGCTTCCTTATTGTACATTAAACGAAACAATCTTGATTTCTTGTATAATAGAAATTCTTGGGCAATGATTTCATTGGTGAGTTTTCAGCTTAGTGTCTATCTTAAACACTTATGATACATTTTAATTCCAACTATTTTATTTCCTTTCAGTTCATTGTTTTTGTTATGACATCTGGTCAGATGTGGAATCATATCAGAGGTCCACCTTTGATGACTCGTAACCGCCAGGGAACAGGAATGACTTATATTCACAATAGCTCCGGTGCACAATTTGTAATCGAAACTTATATTATAATATTACTGAGTAAGTCATTTCAATTAATTTTATCCAATCTTCAAACCTAATCGTTTTCAAACTTGTTTTTAGATGTAGCAATATGTGCTGGCATGATTTTACTCACAGAAGCAATGAAAGGAAAGGCTGATCACAGAAAGAGAAAGAGTAAGTTGCTAGAAAAAAATTCTCACAGTTCTCAAAATTGTCAGTTTCATTGTGAAATAACAAAAATTTTCGTTTAATTACAGTTTCTGCCATGATTGGTCTTGGATCTACTCTAATCTTTTTCAGTCTACTTCTATCCATTTTCCGAAGCAAAGCTCATGGATATCCATATAGTTTCTTATTCAAATAAATTTAGAGTCAAAGAATGGTCATTTTACATCGAAATTATTATAAATAAATTATATATTGCGGTTTTTCTCAAAAAATTTAATATTTTATTTCAATTTTGCATTTATAGATATTTTAGATGTAACATTTTACGGCTATTTGAGATTATAATTTGGTTATACAGTGGTTTGAAAATATGTTTCAATAGGGATCTTGAAAAATTGTTAAATGATATTAGCATTTAAGTCGATTTCCTGGCAAAATATGGAACAACGGAACGGCTGATGATGATCTTTGTAGTGAGGATCAGATGAAAAAACAAAAACAGAAGCAGTGATTTAAGTGGTCGATTGAAACTGGATTGAAATTGATGGTTTGTGCAAATGAAGTCTCTTTTTTGTCTAATTTGTTAAAATCAAGGAGAGTTAACTTGTTCGGGAAAAAATAATTAACATTGATGAATACCTAAACATGGAATAGTAGAATTTATTGATAATTAGTAGTAAAAATAGTTGATCTTAATAATGTTGATTCAAATAACATTTTGTGAACGATTTGACACCGCTACTCAAAGAGCATATCACTCAATTTCGAATTGAATGATTTCATTGAGTAATTTAACATAACATAGATTCAGTTTTGAAAGCTCATCCAGTCATAATTGTCAGTGACCACTACCAACACGATCTCTTGGAATAAGTCTTAATTCAGATCCATGTTTCAAGAAAACATCTCCAGCCGTTTGAGAAGGATTAATTCCTATACCATCATCAGTAATGATTGCAGAAGTTGCTGGTGGAACTCTAAATTCCTCAGCTGCATACTTAAGAACCGCTGTAAATGGGGTGCTATCCGGTACTTTCAATCTAACAAAATTAAGAGTAAAATTAATTAATAAGGGCATATAAATATGGTAGTAAATTAAAAAATAATATAAACTTACATTTTGAATGGTAATTTGGGATCAGATGTTAACGTTATCTTAAAAGTAACCTTTGTTGATGAAGCCCTAGATATAAATGAATGAGCAATTAATAAAAATATAGCCCTAATTATCATTAACTTACATTTTTCAGCTTAAATAAAACAAACGATTCTGGATAGAGCAAATAAACACAATTGATAAATGAACAGATTAAATTTCAGCAAATTATGTTACACGACATATTTTATTAAAAAACGACACGTATATAGTACGATCTTACACCGCTGGGCGGAGTAAGCCTCATTCTTTCATATGCAGCTTTCAAATTGTGACTTTTAATTGAAGTCTTAAATTTTGCTAAAAACAGTTGATTATTGTTGTTAAAACAAAAATATATTACAAGTGAAATGTGTGATCAAGTATAATAACGAAATTAAATCGTTTACAATTCCTTTGATTCAAGTTTGAGTGATAACAAGTAAGTCTTATAAGAAGGTTCATTATCAAAGTTCAATGAAAGCATTTATATTTACAGAGTAAGTCACTGAATTTGGACAAATGAATGTTAATTAGACTTGGATCGATGCTAAATATTTCAAGACCAGATAAGAAAGGGTTGGAAGAGATCATTTCATTATTTCGATAATCCTTCGTTTCTGAATAACCTTGTATTTGGGTTAATTGTCCGATTGTGAAAGTGTTCAAGTTGCGTATTTTCATCAACTAATGTAATATCATCATCCGGATAATATCCAATTGACCAGATAGGTTATGATGTTAATCGGCTTCATACAAATGTAATACAATAGCAACATTTTTGGAATATTTATTTTTTAATTTGGATAACAGTTAGGAAACAATCAAATGTAACCAAATTGAAACAAAAAGTAGGCAAGAAAAGGTTAATAACGTACAACAATTAAGATTTTTTGTTCTTCATTTTCTCTTGTCATCAAATCGTATGAATTACCTACTAATGTTGTTTGAAAATGTTCATTAGTAAATGAAACTGTCAGTTACATGAAACAATTTAATCTTCCTCATAACAATCAAATGGTTATATTACATTAAATGAGGTTAACTTTTGTATTGTCGATAAAAAAGTTGACCAGAAAGTAAATTTTTAAGCAAAATTAAGTATCATAATGAGATTTACAATAATTTACAGGCTGGACAGTGTGACTTTTTAATGTAAAGAGTTGAACAAGGTGAAGTTGAAAAAATCAGATTAAATTATCAACTTGACTGTAATTTAACATTTAACCGAGTATCATTATCATTGATATCAGGTATAACATCAGAGGGAGTAATTGGCTTGGATGAAACCCAATCAAGGGTTAATTTGTAGGGACATCCAGCTGAATACTTTGAGTCGGGATATTTAGCAGCTAAAGCTGATTCAATTTTTTCCTTGAATTGTTCAGCTCGCTGGACACGTCGCCTTAAAGCTCGATTAAATAGATTATACATAAAACGAAAGCGTAATAAAACTGTAAATGAAAATTTACTAAAAGCAAGAAGCAATCGATGACCAATACTGAGTTTATAAGGAAAGGGTATATTAAGTATCTCATACCAATAATAAAGTATTGTTTGCCATCTAATAGCTGGTCTAATTGGTCGTAATGAGTTAGCGATCCCTTTAGCTACCTCAAATCCGATTGGATAAGGATGATTGGGAGTCTGTATAATCTGTGGTATGACAAATGAGGTGAAAATGTGTTTCAAGTAAACCCGAGTCTCTTCCAAGTTACCTGAACACAAATTGTACTTATCTTTGATACCATTTAGATAGCCCAGAACTCTCCACAGATAAATAATATCCTCCAGTTCTTTGTCACTGATTCCATGAGCAAAACATTTACCAGGTACCAGGACTAGAAGACCAAAGAAACCAGCCTGAGTCATTGCCATTTGACATTGGGAAACCCAAATTTTATCTTTTCCCTGGACTCGACCAGTTCTTTCGTTCATCATTTTGGTAACATTATTGTGCATTCGCCTCACTTGACGAAGTGATTTGTAAGATTTACTTCCCTCTTCAAATGGATCATCTCCGTACCTATTTGAGACGATAAGGATAAACTAACACTATTACAACCACTATAATGGATCAACATGTTTAAACTCTTACTAACCAGGTATGTACTTTAAGAACTGTATCCAGATACCGGCGAAACAGTTTAGGAATCGTTTCATGTGTTCCAGTTAGTAACAATGGTTCCAAGAAAAGTGGAATCTGGATGCCAATCAATAATCCTGAGAATGAGGCAAAACTCAAACTGTAATAAACAAAACAATTTGTTTGTAAAATTGAACATATAAAGTTGATTATGTGTTATAAATGGTAATTGAACTGTATTATATTTTCATATAAAAATTTACAAATCTGATCAATAAATTGTCACTTATTACGATTATTATTTTCAATTCACTATCAGCAGGTCAAGGTGATTCTTATGGTCAAGGATAAGGGAGCTTTGATCTTTTTTTGCCGTTTTTGATTACGATAATAATAAAATAAGACCGGTTGGGAAGAGGAAAACATGTTTATTGATGGTTAAAAGTGAAAGTTGAGCTTGCTTCAGGTTCTTTTTTCACAAACTAATAATGGTAATGAGATAGCAAAGTTTACATGAAGACGTTAATCACATTCTGCAGAAATTTCGATAAAACGGATTGAATCAAGTTATCAAGCGATTAAGCAACACAATGATAATTTCTAGCTGTAAAGTTGAAGTGACCATGTAGTGAAAATAAATGCAAGAGGTAAGTAAATTTAAAACCTAAGAGATCAATTTTCAGCTCATTTTTTCAGCTTTAATCTATTGACAGCATAGTAACTACCAAACGAGATGGAATGAGTTGTAATCAAATTAACTTACCTTGGAAAAAATTTAGCTGCCGTCGATTGAGCTTGCTTGAATTTATCTTTATCATACCAAGGAGGAGGGACACTTGGGTCAATTTCGGGCGAAACACCAACTTCATAGGAGCCTTCATCGACCAATTTACGATATCTGTCAATCACTTTATCCTTGCACTCTGGTTTTGTTTGATCATCGTCCATTGTGAGTCCAGATACACAACTTTGGTTAAATGTTTCTTGATAAAGCACACTGAGCGAGTAAAACTATGGACGAACTGTTGTTGCCGCAGTTAGCAAGCAAACATGTTAAAAAAGGGTGAAAACTGGCTGGTTAACGTTGCTTATTGTTCACTGATTGATTTGATTGAACAAATTTACCAATAATGGAGACAAAAGTTAAAAAAGACTTAATGGAAAGGAAAAGAATAAGGATGATTGAAGATAAATTGCTGTTTACGTTTGACTTTGCTGTTGTTGTAACTGCTGTTGTTTAGAGGGAAAAAAGTAGAAATGAAAATTTTGGATGAAAACTTGGGTCAGACGCTAAAAAATAGTTTCAAATGTTAAAATGCATTATTCTGATTATGTGATTAGTTTCCTTCTCAATACACACAAACATTCACTTACATTTACAGCAAAAACATTACATTCTACTTCTTCTTTTCTATTACCTGAGAAACATTTTTCAAATCACTCCTACTAATTTGATGATCCGCAACTCCTCCATTAATTAAAGCATCATTGAGAAATAAGGTAAAGCTGGATGATTGGAGGAGGTAATCAACAATTCTGAAAGGATGATTAGTGTCAATTTTCTTTCTCTCTACCAGAATCGTCCGAGCCTGAAGAAAAGCGAGTTTTCAAACGTAAATGGTTAGCCTATTCATGCGTATCGCTTGAACGGGTTAATCATTAATAGAGAGTCGACTTCATTACCATTTAATCATCCTAGCTGTATCCATGCTAATTACAAACATAATTTGACGAAACATAATTTGTAATTACACCTTGGGAAACAATTTAGCCTTCAATGGTCAACTCTTGTTTGTTGGCTTTTCAAATTTCCCTGGCTTAATTTATAGCCATTACCAAAGCAAATTTAACACAGACCTTCAATCAGATGAGTGTTATTGAACAATTTAAATTAAATTTTTCATTTTTACACCAAACATTGTCCTCAATGTTAGCTTATTCAACAAAATGTGAAAATTGATAAAAAATATGAATGCTAGACAGTTTATAGCTTTTATTTATTTATTGTTACCGTAACAATATCTTAATCAGATTGAGTTTATTGAGAGCTTCAGCTTTATCTCAATGTTACCTTGTTATAAATGTTGTTCCAAATCAAGCCTAGTTATTTTAATGTTAAACGTTGGAAGATTCCTAATCGTTGGTATTTCCTGAAACCTAAATCCTTAAGCAAAGACTGCGTCTCCCTTTGATCTTGTGATATTCAATTTGAATCATTTCATGTTTGTTACCATAACTGTTGAACAACCGGTTTCCATCCATATTTCAATGTAAGTTTTTTTTATTGCCTGTGATTTTGTTTTGTATTAATTTGATTATTTTTGTATCTTTTTCAGCTTTTCAAGAACAAGATCAACCTTCACAATTTGATTAACTTGTTGTCACCTTACAAGTATCATCCAAATCAATTGTTAGTCATGTTTACAGAAGGTAAGTTTTGTACGGTAATAAAACTAAACATCGGGTGTAGTGAAGTGTGAAACAAAAGATTTCTCATTTTTTCCATGCTCGTTTTGAAAGTTTCAACCAATCATGAAGTCTGTTATGATTCAAATTCCTTCCGGACTTATTGGCCTTATAAAATAATTTTCACTCAAGCTGACACTGTTAGTGACTTCTCATTTTTTGTTGATCGATCAACCTTTTAATTTAATTTTCTCAAATGACTAGCTTATTTGGTTACTCTCGTTTTTCACACTTTTCCCATTTCTCTTTCATTGCTTTCCAACCTTAAACATGATTAAACAACAATTTATTTATCTTTACTGGTTTCACCCATTTCAGGTCGTGAAGTGTCCAACTACATTCTTTACGGGGTAACAACTGCTGCCGTTGCTTATGCGATCTACACCCATTATAAATTGAAGAGACTTGGCAAGATTAATCCTTCTATTCGGAAAGATGAAAGAAAGGTTGCTGATACATTCATCGCTGAGGAGCTTGGTGATAGGATTTCCTTGTGTCGCTGTTGGAGATCAGCAACGTTTCCCTATTGTGATGGAGCCCATAAATACTACAACCGGGAATTCAATGACAACACTGGTCCAGTTGTAATCAAACGAAAAGATGCACCCGAAAGACGACCCAAAGGACCCAAAAAAGGAGAGTAAATGGACAACCAGAAAAAAAGACAATATTCAAGAATAATTTAAACCTAAAAATATACTGCAAAGTATGTATTTTGAACCAGATTTTGATTCAAAAGATCATGGAAGAAATAACGATATTCATGAGATATTTTCCTCAACAACCTCAAGAGTAATTTCTGTGATGAAAATTGCTCTAATTAATGGAAAATTATAAACGTGATCTTTTTTTTAAGCAGACAAATTAAGATTGGAATTACAATAATTATATCAATTCCTTAAAAATTACGAAGTACATATCCTTGTATATTGTAAACAGATGATGGCTTTTATGCTTTGATGTCTTACTATCATCTTGATGATGGATCTTCTGAAGATGAAATTTCTTGTGATTTTCAATAATTTTTAAATATTAATTATTAACAAGTTGACCACATGATTGAAGCACTTTTATTTACATTATTATTTTTCAATTTTTGAAAGGCTTTCTCTTGAGACAGTTACAAATCGATGCAACCCTAGTCTGTATTATTTCAACTTATTTTAATCCAAATTCATTACCTTGTTTTCGTTAACATTAAGAATGTTTATTTTACTCTAAAAAACCAATCAATCATGAAATCAACTCGAACGTATTCTCATCTAATTAGAAAACTTCAAACATTCAGTTTCTCATTAAATTGCATTGAGAGTATCTTAAATAATACTTGCAGAAATTGAAACTGATTGAAACAATTTTCAACAGCTATTCAATCTTCCCTTTTTAGATTCACAAGAAAATTGATAAAACCTTTAAACGGCTGATGAGATAAAGATTGAAGATTCCAATTTTACACTCAATTTATCCTTGAAAATTTTGAAAAGCATTAAATTAAATGATTATCGAAGCGCATAATACATGTTCAATTAAAAAAAGGATGAAAAAAACCATTGATCAAAGCTCTTGATTAATTTGTAAATTTTTAAACCTTCCCTTATTATGTCTCACAGCAAACCAAATTTAAATTTTTCACTCAAGTCTATTTTGTTGTTGTTTTTTTGTTTTTATTTTGGTTATTTATTAAGTTGATCCAGTATTACATTTTAATTCTTATGGGGTCATTTATTTGATTGAATCAATCGCCATCCTGATGACTTTTCCACTGGAATAATATTCATATAAGTAAGGCTTATTTCAGACTTTCTATTTCTTTACCTCTCTCTTTCTCTCTCTTTCAGGTGTAAACAAACAAAACCTCCCTAATAATGTTTCTCTTATTCTTTACAGGCCTTGATCATTAATTTTTCATTAGCTAATTTTTTTTGTATAAATAATATTTCTTAGTTAACCATTTTGGCTAGTTGGTTGTTTTTTCTCCACCATATTCTGGAAATTATCCAATTTGAGCATCATTCATCTTTTTGGTACCATGACTGAAGTACACAATGATCATACAACTGATGTGTGTTCACCACTTTTTGTTGAATACCGTTTGATGAAAGAATTTGTTTTGTTTCAACAACAAACAATTCAAAATGTTTATCTAATACCATCATACGAATCTCCTTTCAAATGGTTTGGTGTACTGTTTGTCCACGAAGGGCTATATCAAGGAGCTGTTCTTCGATTTACATTCCATATCCCAGTCAATTATCCTGAATGTGACAACCCTTATCCGTCTATATTTTTTGATAATGCACCGTTTCATCCATTGGTCGACCCAGAGTCAGGTAAATTAGACAGTACTAAGCTAATTAGTGAATGGAATCCACGAGTTCATCAATTTTGGCAGCTCATAGTTTACACAAAGAAAGCATTCATTTTTGTCGAACGAGAATTAAACTATGATGTTAATGAAAACTCGGAAAAGCCTGAAGACGTGCACTACCTCAAGGTAGTGAACATGTATCGAGATAACCAGGAGTTACTTGTTAACAAAATTGCTCAAACCGTTGAAACTAGTAAAACTTTAATCTATCAACCACCCAAAGACAAAGATGACCCTCATGCCATCATATTTACCGAAGTTGACCCTGCTACTCTAGAAAGCTGGAAAAATCGCTTATTAAGTCTGGCGCACTTTAAAGAAGACCCATCAACTAAATCAACACCATCTCCCTCGCCATCATCTCTAGATAATAATAATCGATCTAACATGGGCCTTTCTTGGGTTCAAAATGATATACCATTTTCACGTCCAATCGTATGATGATGAACGCCCATTTTTTAACAACTGCAATCGTACACATTATCAATCCCTCATCAAGCTTTCAAGTGTTACAGTCACTAAAATTGCCAAAAGTTACCAGTCCGGTCTTAATACCGACCGAATCCACCAATTTACAAGATCTTGTTCATTATTTCAATCATCTGCCAAATTTAAAATTGTCAAAATCTCGATCGTACAAAATCTCAAATGTAACTTGACCCAATAAGCCAAATATTTCATTATCAGATTGTTTTGGTTTTTTCAATATATTATTGACCATGTTTTGAATAGTAAACCGAGCTAGTCCAACCCCTTTTTTCTTGGCCAATTAATAAAAAATACATCTCTATCTATTTTGATTTAAAGACAAATATCAATTGTAAATTGATTCTTAATCGTAAAAATATTATAATTTCCTACTTGCTCAGTAACGATCAGATAAATCTATGATCTTCACTTTAATCAAATTTCAAGAGGCACAATCAAACAAATCTGCAATAAATGCTTACGCAATCTGACGATTTATTATCATAATTAAATTGTAACCCTATTAATAATAAATGAATGGCGAAATGGTCGTCAATTAGTCATCTTAAACTGTGTGAACAATGCAGCTTGTAACGTTAGCACTAATCACCAGAGCAAACTATAGATACCAATACATTAGTCCATAATCCTTGTTTACACTCTCTTCATTTGTCATCAATGCTAATCAAAATTACTATTAGTATCAAATAATCGGCATTTTCACTAATGCTTTAGTTACTAGCAATGTCAAGTTTAACGTTATGATAATTGTGGGCAACTATTCTCCATCTACATGGAATAACCTTAAAGCAATGAAAAAAGAAGGTGAAAAATGGAACCATCATTATTTTTTTCATTTAAATGACAAGATTGTCTATGAAAAATGAGAAAGGGTGAAGACAAGGATGATAATAGACACAAAAAAGTTAATGAGAGAATTATTTTTAACATATTTTGTTTTACTAACCAAGTGCACAATCATCAGCAGTCTCCACCTAGTAGCTGCCACTCCGCAGTTCCTCAGACAGATGATGAAAATCAAAGTTTCTTCTTTTTCCAGTTTCTCAACAACTGAAAGTAAAAGTTGCAATAATTAATTTTTAACCCTTGTTCATTTGCAATAAAGCTTGTTGTTAACCTGTTGTTTATGCATGTGAACGGTAGGCGTAATGATTAATTTTACAAAAATAGTTTTAATAATAACTATTCAGGTAAGACTGTGATTTTAGCTTTGAGTTTTGTTTTCCTTGAGTCACTTTTATTCTGCCTTTTGTTTTCCCGGTTAAAAAACTGTTGTTAAGTTTGCAGTTTCATGCTTTATTTATTGTCCATGTTGACTTATTTGTTGTCCCATTTTTCTTTCCGTTAATTAATTAGGTAATTGGATTGTCGTCAATATCATTGTCATCTCCGTTGTCTTCATCTGTGTCATCCAATTGTTCAATTTTACCGGGATGTGAAAGTGAAGGTCCACTTTGCTCATCAGAGGGTAAAACCTACAAAACCAAATGTGATCTACTTGTTGATCTGTGTAAAAGACCTGGTATCTTAATTGTTGCTAAATATCCTTGTTCTACTTGTTTACTTGAGAGAAGTGCTAATCTTGCTGTTAAATTGGAATCTGACCATCAATCAGGCAAAGAGATTTTAATTCCCGAATGTGATTTAACCAAAGGGTTGTACAAAGCACAACAATGCCATAAAGAAACAGGTTAGATATTTAACATGTCAATGTTTCTTGCAATTATTCAAAAAGTTGGGTATAGTTTTGGCTTGTGTTTTAATTATGAGCAATACATCGTTACCAGTATCTTGCTTATTATTCAAAGTATATTATCATTATAATAGGATTATAATAATTTTTACTAACAAGTAACATGACCTAAGTCAACATACTAGTTGATATCATCTTTATAGCTCTCTATCTCTTTCACTCTTACTATTAATACTTTCTTGGAATCAATCTTAGCTTATTCTTAATTTTATAATTTAAACATTTCTAGGTTATTGTTGGTGTGTAGATGTAAATAATGGTAAACCAATATGGAAAACTTCTGCCAAAGGTGATAAAGCTTCAACGGATTGTGATATTTTGGCAAGGAAAATAAATCGTAAACGAAGACCAAGACGAGATAAGAAGAAATGTACAAGAGCCGAGAAAAATGAGTTGATTAAAGATTTAATTAATCTTTTCTCGACTGAATATGAGAAACAATTTAATCAACAAAAAGCAGATTCACAAACTTTAATCAAATATAAGTTTGCATCTTTAGATATCAACAAGGATGAACAAATAAATCGTCGTGAGATGAAAGATCTGAGAGAATCAGTCAATAGAAAAGCAGGACAAAACAATTGTGCTGCCTCATTTTTTAAAGTTCTGGACAATAACTCAGATAAAAAAATTTCTCTATCTGAGTGGACTTCATTCTTTACTAACCAACGACCTGTAAATGATCGTTCTGATATTGCTGAATCCCGGAAAGTTCAAGCACGTAAGTAGCTACAAATAACCAGAATGAAATTGAATTGTATTTTGAACTAAACTATCCTTTTGTCATTTTTGGTAAAATTTTATCTAAATCTAGGTCCATCTGATGTTGCATTGTGGTCATCAAATATTAGCTCTGTTCATGGACTGTTACTTTTAAACCAAAAACCTAAGTCAGAAACTCAGGATAATAAAGATGAAGATACCGAAGACGAAGGTGACTCTGATGATAATGGATTTAGTATCGAATCTATTGCATTTAAACCAAACTGCAGTGAATCAAGACAAATTGCTTTGAAAAATTCGGCAAATTTTTCTCATTCAAAGGTATTTCTCATTCTGTTTTCAATCAATCAAATGTAACTAAATTTTTACCTAATTTTCATTTGTTTCTTAGACTCTCATCCCATCATGCAATAACCAAGACTCATTTCTTTACAATGAAGTACAATGTCATGAACTACCTGGATTTTGTTTCTGCGTTCGACCCAGCTCAGGTCAATTAATTCCTGGTATATCTTCAAAGCTTCCTGCTAAACCAGACTGCAGTCAACGTATGATACGGAAAAGGTTGTCTAACCCAAGAAAAGGCTGTTTTCCTCAGAAAGCTTTGCGTTTCAAGCATTTTTTGATAAAAAATTTTCGTGAAGAGTATAAACGTGAAAATCCAAATGATCGAAATTTTGAAACGTCAACCCTGATTTCTTGGAAATTCAATAAAATTGACCGAGATGCCAACCGATTAATTGAAACTAGTGAATGGGCTGGCTTTGAATTGAGTCTCAAATCGCTAATTTCAAGACTACAAAACTTCAGAAGATGTGCTCGCAATTTTGTCCAGAGAGACTGTGATTCCAATCAAGACGGAAAGATTGAATGGAAAGAATGGAAATCTTGTATATACGCTCCTGACACTCGTCGAGATACCTCGCATTCATCATTATCGACCACGACTGCACCATTGAAAATGGCTGAACCATCGACATCACCAACTTTAGACTCACCCTCACATTCACCACAAACCAAGCAAAAATCTCAAATCGATGTTCAAAAACGTAAAGGTCGAAATCCGTTTCTTCCTATTTTAAAAGGAGATTAATATTTCATCATCAAAATTTAGCAACAACAAATCGTGGATTTTAACTTAAAACAATAAAAATATCAAATACATTTATCATTTTAATTTGTAAATAACAAGATTTTAATTGTGCCATATAACGAAATACGATGCTTATTTCTTAGTATTATTCTGCATTATTAAATATAATCACTTTTTTTCAAATGTTGACTAATTATTTCCTTCCTTGATACCATATTTAGAAATATCGATACATTTTAAAATATTTATTTAATCTTTTATTCTCGTTATTCATTGTTATTTAAATATTTATGATTTATTAATCATTTGTCATTTAAGAATGTTGTTGAAGTCAATTTCAAAATGATGAGTATAAAAAGGTGAAAAATAGATTAGTAGAAAAGACAAAATAGAAGTTCAGAAAATAAGTAGTCCATTTCAATTACACTGTATGCTCAAGCTCTCGCGCGATGCACTACGAGGTCCTCGAGGCTGTTTCTTTTTTCTTTGTACCATCCAATCGTGCAGATATTGATTTACTGTCTCTGATGGCATTTCTTTTTTGATATATGGAGCAGGCGGATATTCAGTGTCATCATGCCAGTTACGATAATGTTTCCTCATATTATTGGCATTATCTCGTTCAATATATTGGCAACCTTTTTGAGCACAGCATTTTACAATCTCTTTGTCGTCTTTGGTTCGATTATTACGCGATTTCTTTTGCCCAGATCCAGCAGCGGATCCATTGGAACGTCTACTCTCAGAATTATTTGATGATGATGATGACTGTGACACTATGACTGGATGATGGTTACCTCGGTCAAGTTGTCCTGAACCGATAGGTGACATCAATTGAGATCCACTTGGACTAGGAGCAAGAGCCATCCATTCATCCTCTTTGACCAGTAAATCGTTTACCATTTGGAGATCAGGACCATTGCTTGGAGGAATGAATACGACATGATGAATCTTTTGTAAACTGTTTTCTGATCCTTCACAATTATTCTTATCTTCTTCTTTGGTTCGATTGTTTCGTGGTTTCTTTGGAACAGAACCACCAGCAGATCCATTTGAACGTCCGCGGTCAGCGGAAGTAGCTGATGCTGATGACTGTGACTTAATGACTGAATGAACCTCTCGATTAATAGGAGGTGAACAGAGGGGCGACATCAACTGAGATCTACCCTGAATAGGGACAAGACCCATCCATTCAACTTCCTTGACCAGTAAATCGTTAACCATGTGAATATCAGATTCAGCATTTGGAGGAATGAACACGACGCGGTGAATTTTTTGAATACTTTTTTCTAACCTCTCACAGTCAGTTTTGTTATTCTCAACAATGGCATCATGCGAGGTTAGAGTACCGATAACTTCACTAATAGTCATCAATTTTTCCTCAAAAATCTTGTTATTCTTTAATAGAAGTCGTTGACGAGACCATAGCTTATAAACGAACAGCTCCAGGCAGTTCATATAAATCCGACCATAATCGTCAAGCTGTTGAAAAACATAATTTCGTCTTTCTTCTGGTTCCAATCGCATCTCTGAGATAATGTGAAAAATGTATCAAAAAATCAGTAACACAATAAATAAATATTCAAAAATTTACATAAAAACAAAAAAGAAACACTGCTTTTAACAAGTTTGTACTATGATTACACTGTGATTCATGGAGATGATGAAAAAAGCTTTATACAGTAACGAGCAGACTAAGAAAGAGAATACAAATGGAGCCAAGTTTATCGTCGTACTAACAATACACAGAGAGAGAGAGAGACCACGTTTGTCTCCTTCGTCTCCCTCATCTCCAATCAATTGGACTTTTTGCCCTTCTTTACAATTCTCTTTCTTTCCTTTCTCTCTCCCTCTCTTTCTTTTCAACACAATATCTTCGTTTCCCTGTCTTTCCTGTTTCCTTGTTTAACTCGCCTAAAACTGGTCACTAAAAACGATATCCAAAGGGCAAACTATGGACCACTTATTGACAGGATTAACAAAGATTTTGAGAAAGGGTCAAGAAGCAGGGAAAACGGGTTACTGTATTAACGTAGGATAATAATAAAGTTGAATCATTTTCCCTGGAAACGACTAAAGCTAAACAAAAGAAGCTTTTCTCGAGCAACAAATCCGGCCAAGAAAAAAACTGATGAAATTCAAAATGACAATTGAGCTTGAAGAATCAAGAATCAACAAGAAACCCACTTGGATAAATGTAGCAAAAAATTGATGCAATTGTCAAGCAAAATTGGATCCATTTCTTAATCATTATAACTGTACTTGTATTTAGGTAAGATTATTTTGTTTCCTTTTCTTCTTCTACCAAAATTTTTAAGCGTGACACCCTTTACATTATGAGTCATATAAATAAATATTGATGGGGCCATAGTATATGAAAATGTATTACTTACCTCACATTTAGATTGAACAAGAAGAGTTGTTGGCAATTAAAAAGTAAACTGGTGATGAAAATGATGGTTAAAATGCAATGTTCACAATGTAAATTTTGATGACAACAATTGATTAGTTTTTGGTCAAATAAGCAGATAAATGATTATCTCTCTCCTTCCTACAACTCTCTTCCTTTCTCCCTTCTTTTAAGGGTCTGCCATTTAGTCCTTGTCCTAAGTATGATCCAAAACCTACCAGAAAAGCGAAGAGAAAGAAAAATCGAAAGAAAGGCAAGCGTAGAGAGAGATAAAGAAGGGGGGAGAAATTGGGTGAGAAGAAAGAAAGAGATGAAAAAAGAGTGCAGAGGGCGAAAAAGTCTGGTAAAATATGAGCACAAAGAGACTGATGCAGAAATTAGTCAGCCAAATGATGAGTTTATCATTGTATTAGGCAATATTAAATATGCGAATGGCGTTTAGTTTCTCCTTTCCAATAGTACCAATTAGAGTTTCAATTTGATTTTCATTAAAATTAGTCCAGAAACCAGGGCAAGTCCGGTAATGAAGGCAATATTTTGTGTACTAATTACGGAAGACATTGTGAATCTGAATGGTTCACCAATCATATAATAACGAGCCACCGAGACAATATGGACTTTTATCGTACAACCCAAAAGATTTGTGTCTTTAAGAATTAAAATTTGCTCGTAACATTTGTTGTGTCCTACCCAATATCTGTGATCTCTCGACTCTTCGGTAACGAGAACGCTATAAATTTGACCAATACGTCCTTCATATGGTTGATGAGATTCAAATAGTTCCGTCAGTTTTTTGGTTCGCTCTCTAACCTGGTGATAAAATGTAGTGAAAATCGAGAGGAACCCAAAAATGAGAACAAAGCGAGAAAAAGGAGGAGAGGAGGGAAGATAAAGATAGAGAGAGATAGAGAGAGAGAGAGAGAAAAGATGGAAATATAAAACGAAAGGGAGAGAAGGAAGGCAAAAAGTAAGCAAAGAAACAAACTCCATTGTGTATAAACGTAACTATTAATGTGTAAGTCTGATTCAAAATATAGTTAGGCTTTTGATCTTTCATATGGCCTCTTTTAACGCTCTTACTCGTCATTTTTAATAATAAACATAGATCGACGGTGATGCAGTCGACGCTACTTACGTTCCCCTCTCACTTATATGCCTTTATATTTCTCCCTCCATATCTCTGTTAGTTTCTCTGTTTGTATGTTGCTATCATAAAATCGGAAACAGCTGGTTAGTTTCACGACTAATATAACAACAAGATAGAGCTGCTTCTTTCTCACGGGGAGAAGTAAAATTAATACAACTTAAACCGCATTTTACTTTTACTACTATAACACAGTTAGTAACTAACAAAAGAATGAGAGTGAGCCAGGCCACGTTCCTGGCATCAGGTAAGGTTTTTTTGACTACATAATAGCGCAAGGCAGGCTTTACTGCTGTTGAGCTGTTTCTAATTCAATCCACCAACAACCGTTAACACGACGGATCAATAAATATGGAGATCCCTTAGTTTATCATCCCTAAATTGTAAATGGAGTTGCTATCGTTGACCTTCTCTCTCTCCCCATTTTATCTCTAGTTTGTTAGTTGATGAAAAATCTGAAAAACTCTGAAAAATCATTTTTCAATGTTGTTCTCGATGATACACATGCAGTAATCATTTGTCAAAAGTCTAATCTTGCCAATCGGGTAAAAGAAGGACGACTCTTTAACCAGCTTCTTGAGATGCTAAAATTTTATTGTAAATACGAGATTGATGATATTACCGGCAAAGCTCTAAATCGGAAAGAAGTGATGAAGTTACACTATGATATGATGACAAAGCTTCAAATGCTCACCTTTAAACATTTTGAATCATTGAAAAACTTTTATCTCAGTAACATTGCTTCAGTTGATACACCAGAAAAGCTATTAGAATGTTTCAAAAATTTGAGTGACGATGAAATCGCTAAACTGATGAACATGCTAAACATTACTCCGGAATCGCCTTCAAGAACGCTTACTCGTGATTACCTTCTCGAAATAATTGCTTTCAAATGTGGTAAAACAATTTCTCAACTTGATGCGCTTAATGAAATGCCACTCTATCCAACTGAAGAAATCATCTGGGACGAAAATCTAGTTCCGAATCAATAGCGACAATATAAATCTTAAGGATGGCCAAGAAAGCGTTTATGATACATTTAATATTCTAATGAGACGCAAACCAAAGGAAAATAACTTCAAAGCTGTTCTCGAAACTGTTCGTGATCTGATGAATATACAATTTGTTGTCCCTGATTGGCTTCATGATATCATTCTTGGCTACGGTGATCCATTATCAGCTCATTTTAAAAATATGATAGATTCAAGTGAATTGGTCAACTTCAATGACACATTTTTAGATTACCAGCATCTTTTAGCATCTTTCCCAAATTATGAAATCACCACTTCAGCTGATGAGTCGAAATTATTGCCGCCCTTTAAACTTAAGATTGATGAGAAAGAACGTAAAATTGAAGTTTTTCCTTTTGTTTTACCCAATCGTAGACCATATCCTGCCGCTCAACCAAGAAAGAATAGTCTTAGATTCACACCGACTCAAGTAGAAGCCATCAAAGCGGTGTTAATCGGGGTTTAACATTAGTTGTTGGACCTCCAGGAACTGGTAAAACCGATGTTGCCGTACAAATCATTTCAAACCTTTACCATAACTTTCCAAAGCAACCAACAGCAATCAAGTGATAAGCAAAGGCCCTGAAAATGTTTTCAGACTATTTCCATTCCATAAATTCTTTGAAACTGCACCTCAACCAATTTTTCATAAAGTTACATTTGAACAAGATCTCGAGATTGCCAAAGGATGTTATAGACATTTGAAAAAAATCTTTACACAATTGGACGAATTTAAAGCTTTTGAAATGTTACGTTCAGGAAATGATAGGAGCAAATATCTTCTTGTTCGTGAAGCAAAGATTATTGCCATGACCTGCACACATGCAGCTTTAAAAAGACGAGAATTGGTTGAAATTGGTTTCCAATATGATAATATACTAATGGAAGAATCAGCACAAATTTTAGAAATTGAAACTTTTATTCCTTTATTGCTCCATCATCCCTAAATTGTAAATGGAGTTGCTATCGTTGACCTTCTCTCTCTCTTTCTCTCTCCCCATTTATCTCTACAGTAAGTTACCAATTGTTAGCCATTCAAATTGTAAACAAAGAGGTTTGAGGGACTGTTGAATAATCTTATGACAATTACTGGTAACTTACTGTAGTTTGTTAATTGATGAAAAATCGTACCTGATTGGCTGGTATTCGTTCCATCTTGGCAGCAACCGTGCCCGGTCTTGGGTAAAATTGATTGATAAACAAAATAGGGAATCTATATTTTGCGACCAACTGTAATGTCTCTGCAAAATCTGCTGCAGTTTCAGTAGGAAAACCACAAATAATATCAGTTGCTATTGTTATTCCAGGAACTCTGTTGAAATAAACAATAAATTGCATGTATTACAAATTACTACTACATTTTGGTATTAATTTACCTTTGTCGAAGGTACTCAACAATGTCTTCGAAATCTCGTCGAAAATATTCACGTCTCATATCAGATAAAACCTGGTCGCTCCCTGATTGTACTGGTATATGAAGGAAAGAGTAAACACGATGATGTGATAGAATTTTGCCCATATCTTCAAGATAATCCTTGATGTATGGCGGGTTAGTCATCCCAAGACGAAGATAACATCCATCAGGGATCACATTAATTAAGGCATACAACAGCTGAGGCAAACTACAATCAATATCTTTACCATAAGCGCCAGTATCTTCGGAGGTTAGCCAAATCTCTTTACAGCCTTCTTTAAATGCTTCAACTGCACGGTTTACTATTTCCCCAATTGGATAGCTACCCAAATCTCCACGAGCGTGTTTAGTTTTACAATATGTACACTGATTTAGGCATCCTGTGCTAATAGGAATAATCTCTATTAGTGGATTACGACGAATCTTGGGTAAGTTAAGAGAAGCACCGCCAGCTTTTCTTCTGTTAACCTTTTTTTTACCCAACAATCGGACTCTATTTCCTTTCAAGGTTTCCTCGACAACTTCAACAACTCTGTCAATCTGTTGAACACCAAGAATACTCAAATTTTTAAGATAACCAACATTTGGTGTGGCTTGAGAAACACAGCCAGCAACCACAACGAATTTGTTTTTGTCTTTGGCCGAGTTAATTGCATTACGAAAATGATCTTCAGATGGATTTTTAACCGTACAACTGTTCAGTACAACCAAATCAGCTTCATCTTCTGTGTTTACGATTTTATATCCATTTGAAGCTAATAAACCAGCCATGTATTCACCATCACTATTATTATGAGAGCAACCCCAAGTTTTCACAAATATCTTATGAGTTCCTGAATTAAAGTTTCAAATAGCAAAAGATTAAGTCAAGCAATAATTATCAATTAAGAATACAAAAATTTAATTTACCTGGAACGAAACTGTTGAAGCTATACTCTTCATCTCGAGTTGCTTTGTCATTGGTCTTTGGTCGAATAATCAATTCATTGTGAAGTACTCGTTCAATTTCATCCGCGCCATTTGCTTGAATAATATCCTCTATATCAATGATTCCATCGTCTTCTATTACTGGCATATCTGTCAACAATTATCTTTAATGACAAAAATTTTAACTCGACGAATAATGATTACAGTCATGTTTCAGTCAATAGATGGTGCTGTGATGTTTCATTGAAATTCAGCTCATGGCTTCAATGCTGTTATTTTTAATTACAATTTCAATTTAATTTAGTCTAGTTTGACCACTCATCTATTAAGAATCCTTGAAGATCGCCAAGAATCATCATCTCGTTGAAGCAAAAGCTTATCAAATATTCGCTTTCATTATTAGGCAAAGTATCTAAAGAAATAATATTTCACTGTCGCTGATGCTACAAAAATCCAACTACTAACTGTAACTACTGTTAGTAAGGTAAATTTATTAGAAATTCAGACTTAAATTGAGTTGCTGATGTTCCGATCTGATCGTAAGTCGTAAATCTGAGTCGGATTTATGACTTTTTACTCATTTTCCCTTATGAATAAAGCAATAAGGCTGTTTGATAGATAGATATCGGATACAGGATCCTATTCATTGTCCGGTTTTCATCTGTTTTGGTTTGAAAATTTTGTTTTCAAAATGAGTTTTATATTTTTGAGTGGTTAATCAATTAATTGTGTTTATTTTTTAATTTAAAGTGTTATCGTAAGTGTTGAGCCAGTTTGTTACAAGGTAACTTTAGTGGACTTGTTGGTAAAATATGGATAGCTCTCAATCATCAACAACACGTGCTTCTAAAGCTGATTCAAATGGAGGTTCTTCTGCTCAATTTAAGGATAGGATGGAGTTAATTGATGAAATGAATGTAAGATTTCGTGAAAGGGCTCCTGGTTGGGAAGCATATTTACCGGAAAACTTTGAAGAATTTTTCACCAATGTTTGCAAACTCTGTCTGGCAAAAGAGAAAGGTTTAAATATGAAGCAAAGAATAAAACTGATAATATTTCTTGACAACTGTTTCAACAGTGTTGAGGTTGATCTCATTCGTGAAACAATACAAAATTATGCTTCATTCCCTATATGGATTTGCCTATCAGAAACCCGGAGAGAAGAGGAATTCAGAAAAGTTGCAAAACTGAAAAAGTATTGGAATGTACTAAAGAAAAAAGATGCCAAATTAGAACCCGATCAGTTAGAATCATTGAACTTTGAAAGACAATTTCTATGGAACTTAATTCATCAATTTTTCCGTTTTCTTGCAACCATTCCAAGTCAAGAAGAAGTTGAACAATTGGATAAAGTGCAACTTAATGTGGTTAATTATTGTGAAAGATTTCTAGAGTTCCTTATCGACTTGGAAGCTTCATTGCCAACACGAAGATTTTTCAATGTTGTTCTCGATGATACACATGCAGTAATCATTTGTCAAAAGTCTAATCTTGCCAATCGGATAAAAGAAGGACGACTCTTTAGCCAGCTTCTTGAGATGCTGAAATTTTATTGTAAATACGAGATTGATGATATTACCGGCAAAGCTCTAAATCGGAAAGAAGTGATGAAGTTACACTATGATATGATGACAAAGCTTCAAATGCTCACCTTTAAACATTTTGAATCATTGAAAAACTTTTATCTTAGTAACATTGCTTCAGTTGATACACCAGAAAAGCTTTTAGAATGTTTCAAAAATTTGAGTGACGAAGAAATCGCTAAACTGATGAACATGCTAAACATTACTCCGGAATCGCCTTCAAGGACTCTTACTCGTGATTACCTTCTCGAAATAATTGCTTTCAGATGTGGAAGAACAATTTCTCAACTTGATGCACTTAATGAAATGCCACTCTATCCGACTGAAGAAATCATCTGGGACGAAAATCTAGTTCCGAATCAATACTATGACCATGATTCCTGTTTAGCTTTACCAAAACTCAATCTACAATTTCTTACCCTACATGATTATTTATTGAGGAATCACAAGCTTTTCCGTTTGGAATCAACTTTTGAAATCCGCCAGGATATTGAAAGCAGTATCTCACGAATGAAACCATGGAGAAGAGAAGATGGTGCCGTTATGTTTGGTGGTTGGGCTCGAATGGCCATTTGTGTAGATAATTTCGTTATCGTTGAAGTAGCAAAACCAAATATTGGTGAAAAGGCTCCATCCCGAGTAAGAGCTGAAATAAGAGTTAATCTTAATGTTCGTAATGAAATTAAAAAGGAGTGGGAATCTTTAAGAAAACATGATGTTTGTTTCCTAATTACCGTGGAACCGACTGTGCCTCCTGGAACTGCTTATAAGTATAAAGAACCTTTTGTACCTCAAGTTGGTCTGAAATATGTCCGTGGATGTGAAATTGAAGGAATGCTCGATCCCTTAGGAAAATTGATTGACGAATCAACTAATGAAAAACCTCATTTTGATACTGATTTTCGAACTTATCGAGTTTGGCTTGATTGTAATCAATATTATAGCGACAATATAAATCTTAAGGATGGCCAAGAAAGCGTTTATGATACATTTAATATTCTAATGAGACGCAAACCAAAGGAAAATAACTTTAAAGCTGTTCTCGAAACTGTTCGTGATCTGATGAATATACAATTTGTTGTCCCTGATTGGCTTCATGATATCATTCTTGGCTACGGTGATCCATTATCAGCTCATTATACAAATATGATAGATTCAAGTGAATCGGTCAACTTTAATGATACATTTTTAGATTACCAGCATCTTTTAGCTTCTTTCCCAAATTATGAAATCACCACTTCAGCCGATGAATCGAAATTATTGCCGCCCTTTAAACTCAAGATTGATGAGAAAGAACGTAAAATTGAAGTTTTTCCTTTTGTTTTACCCAATCGTGGACCATATCCTGCCGCTCAACCAAGAAAGAATAGTGTTAGATTCACACCGACTCAAGTAGAAGCCATCAAAAGCGGTGTTAATCGGGGTTTAACATTAGTTGTTGGACCTCCAGGAACTGGTAAAACCGATGTTGCCGTACAAATAATTTCAAACCTTTACCATAACTTTCCAAAGCAACGAACTCTAATCGTTACGCATTCTAATCAAGCATTAAACGCTCTATTTGAAAAGATTATGCACCTAGACATTGATGAGAGACATCTTCTTCGATTGGGACACGGAGAAGAAGAGTTGGACACAGAAAAGAATTTCAGTCGTTATGGTCGAGTTGATTACGTTCTCAAGAAAAGATTGGAACTCTTGGATGAAGTTAGTCGATTGGCAAAAAGTCTCAACATTAGTGCCGATGTTGGCTATACATGTGAAACTGCTAATTATTTTTATCTTTACCATGTTCTATCGAGATGGGAAGAATTTCAAAGCAAATTAAGTGAAAGCGACAAAGGCCCTGAAGATGTTTTCAGACTATTTCCATTCCATAAATTCTTTGAAACTGCACCTCAACCAATCTTTCATCAAGTTACATTTGAACAAGATCTCGAGATTGCCAAAGGATGTTATAGACATTTGAAAAAAATCTTCACACAATTGGACGAATTTAAAGCTTTTGAAATGTTACGTTCAGGAAATGATAGGAGCAAATATCTTCTTGTTCGTGAAGCAAAGATTATTGCCATGACCTGCACACATGCAGCTTTAAAAAGACGAGAATTGGTGGAAATTGGTTTCCAATATGATAATATACTAATGGAAGAATCAGCACAAATTTTAGAAATTGAAACTTTTATTCCTTTATTACTCCAAAACCCTGAACATGGGCATAATCGTTTGAAAAGATGGATAATGATTGGAGATCATCATCAATTGCCACCAGTTATAAAAAACATGGCTTTCCAGAAGTTTAGTAACATGGAACAATCACTTTTCGCCCGTTTTGTTCGTCTTGGTGTGACAACTGTCGATCTTGACGCACAAGGAAGATCTCGACCTAGTCTATGCTCATTGTTCCGTCAACATTACAGAAAATTGGACGATCTGCCGCATACTCAAGTCATGTCCGATTCATTCCCAGTTAATCCAGGTTTTGCTTATGATTATCAAATAATTGACGTTCAAGATTTCAATGGAGTTGGTGAATCCGAACCCATTCCTTACTTCTATCAGAATTTAGCTGAGGCTGAATACGTTGTTGCAACTTATATGTATATGCGTTTACTTGGATATCCAGCTGAAAGTATTACTATACTTACAACTTACAATGGACAAAAATTCTTGATAAGAGATGTAATTAATCAAAGATGTATGGATAACCCATTTATTGGAGCTCCTCATAAGGTAACAACAGTTGACAAATATCAGGGGCTTCAAAACGATTTCATTTTACTCTCTCTGGTTCGTACAAAAGCAGTTGGACATTTAAGAGATATACGACGTTTGGTTGTTGCTATGTCAAGAGCCAAATTTGGTCTTTACATTTTTGGTCGAATTTCCTTATTCAAAGATTGCATAGAATTGGTTCCTACTTTCAATTTACTACTTAAGAGACCAACTTCTCTACATCTGTTTCCAGAAGAAAACTATCATCCAATTTCAATTTCAGAACGTAAAAATCCAACAATCTTTACAGATATGACTTCCATGGTACAATTTGTTTATGACTTTTACGTGAAAAAAGTAGAAGAAAGGAGATTAACTATGCAGGATGAACACGAAGAAGTAGAAGAAACGCAAATGATTAGTGAAGATGAACACACGAACGAGGAAGAAACACAAATTACCTGTGAGGAGGAACCAAATGTGGAGGAAGCGCAAGCAACTTGTGAAGACGAGAATCAAAACGTGGAAGAAGCGCAAGGAACTAGTGAAGATGAACCCAAAAAAGTAGAGGAACAATCAACTTGCGAGGATGAACAAAATTAGACATAAAATTGTACACAAAATAAAAACAACACACTTATTTACATCAACATAATTAAATTCACAATGATTCTAAAAAAATACCACTTAGGATTCCTCTTAAGTGATGAAAATTGAGCGAAGATCTATGATTAAATCTATCAATGATCTATCATTTTGTATAATATTATGTATTTATCCATACTTTATTTCATTATGCGATCGCAATAAATATTTAAAAAAAACAATTAAAGATGAAAAAAGCGTTCTTTTTATTAAACTGGAATAAGAAATAAGATTAATTGATACAGGTGAAGTTAACTTGATACAATCAAATTACACTTCCATTCAGTTGAAGTTTATTACAACATGGGTATTGTTTTAACGTCCAGAGGAAATATCCTTATATTGAGCTTTTAATTACCCAGTAATGGTTACCAGTAACCCAGTAAGTTACTTTTTATACCAAATACAGAGATAATGTCAAGGTTTGTTTAAAATACTGAAAATTTTAACTCTTCAGACCAGTTCCAAGCAACGCAACAAAATCCCAAAATGGAATGTTACGAAAAAATTTTCCATTTAATGTCATCAGAGTGTTTTTTGTTGCCATTGCTGAGAAACAAGTTGAGTTATTCTTGCCTTGGAAAGAAATGAATCTTGAAATTCATTCCATCGATCCCTCAACTTTTTAAACTGAATTGTATTTCTTGAAACTGGTCTGAAGAGTTGAAATTTTCAAAAGTATTTTAAGCCAACCTTGACATTATCTCTGTGATTGGGTATAAAAATAAATTTGCTAGCATTTCCTGAGTAATCAAAGCCTCTCAATGTAAGGATACTTCATCTGGACACTCAGTAGTTTCCATCACAATCAAATGGATGACTTAATGAATATCGGCTCATTAAATGACTATTAAAATGTTAATTCCGTTGTTTTGTAGGTTTCCTTGATTCAAATGTCCAATCAATAAATAGATAGCATTGAGAAGTAAATTAAAAATAAACAAGCTTTATTAGCTTTCTTTGTTAGGTTTCGCTTGATGTTTGGACTTGATCAAGCTGACTATCAAATGGTAAGATTGAAGTAAATAAATGCACCAAAGCAAAGCTGTTTTCATGAAACTTAACTAACCAAGTAGATGATGTTAGATGAGTTTAAAAGTGGTTAATAATTTGGTTAACTGTCAGATGATGTAGAGTTAGCATTGATATTAAGAAAGGTAAATTGGTAATAAGAAAAGGTTTCAAAGTCAATAATAAATTAAATGAAAAAATGAGGAACAAGAAAAACACTTTTCAGCGCCCTTTTCAAATGGCATTAATAGAATCACATGATCGATGCTTTAAATCAGGCTTACGAAGGACTCGTTTCACAAAGCTAAGAGCTCGACGGAATTTACCATGATTTGAATCATTGATTGGCATAAAGCCAAACCGAGTTCGTACATTATTTGAAATCCAGGATAAAATGTGATCCAAATTGTCTTCCAGTTCAATTGAAGCCTCGTGAAAGTCAACCTCAAACCGATTAGCCAGGGATTTGCCTTCACTTGGATCAACGGTTCGAGCTCGGACAAGGTCAGATTTGTTGCCAATCAGACAAACCTTTAAATCTGGATTCAATCTTTTATAATCAAAGATGGCCATAGTCAATAGTTGAGCTGCAATCTCAAAGCTACGACGATCAGTTATTGAATAGATGACAATCACTGAATCATAAAAAATCTGTAACCAAAAAAGAGAAGAGAATTAATTTCCAATTTTTTTACAGTTGAATGTTTATTGGGAAAGATGTTCATTTGCTTATGCAGAGTAGACATTATCAATCATCTTTTATTATTTAGTAATAATGTTTCTCTGGTAATCAAGTCATGTTCATTGATTGTTGAAGAAGCCTTCACTCTTGAGTTTAATATAAATGCCAATTACGTGATTGTTGACCAATTTTGAGGTAAAATAGCAGCTCATGATTAGCCATCAATCATAGTTTCTTTTCTTCAATAGAAAAAAGATACACCAAAATTTCAATGCATTCATAGGAGTTACTGTTGTTGGTTCAATTGATGAAAATATAAATCGTTCATTTACTCTGAAAAATCAATTGATCAACCTGATTGATGAGCCTGACTGTCAAGTAAATCACATTGTTCAGTCTTGTCTCTTAAATAAATGATAATAATACTGTAAGTAATAGCAGTTTTTTTTCATGATAATCATAATGACAATCAAAATGTATGGCAGTGAATCAAGTTGGGGTTGAAGGTTCAATGAATGATGGAAACAGTTTGACAAGATAAGTTGTAAGGTAAAATCAATGTCCAGTTAACTCATAAAATTGTTCATCTAATTGTCAGCCTCAAAGCTTCTCAAAACTGTTGTAAACCATTATTGATCAAAATTAATCTAACCAATAATTAAAGATTGTCAAAAGCCAAGAGCAAAACCAAGAAAACCAAGAAAACCAGAAAAACCAAGAAAACCAGAAAAAACAAGAAAACCAGAAACCAAAGACAATGGCAATTTCATTGCTAAACCAACTTGTAAAGCAAATGTAATAAATAATAATGAAAAAATATGATTTAGAGGTTTGATTGTCTCAGTGATTAATTGTCGTTTGGATGCAAAATTAGCAATAAAAATAGGTTTTTAGTTTGAATTGACATTGAATTAAAAAGCTGTTAATGTTGACAAATGTATTTTGCCTTTTTAAAATAAATGTTTGCTAATTGTGAGTTTCATTGTAATACATTTACTGATGATATTTACTGATTAACCGACTTTGATTAATGTTAACAAATGTTAAGGCAAACATTCATTATTTACCTTTTAACCATTGAAATGTTCAGTTATTCATCATGTTTTCATTTAACCAATTCATTCATTTCAGACCATTATCAACCATCAGAATCTTCATGACCAGCATCCATTATTCAATCAAAAAGTGAAGCATAACAAAAAGTGTCTTATAATGAAAGCTTGCCTTTTGTTGCTCTCATTTTTGTATATCAACATCAATAATGGTTTTTCATGATAATCAATTCATTGGGTGTTGAAAAAAAGGAAAAGGTATCAATGTGAAGCAATCACCAAGATAAACACTGAATACATTTAAAGATGAATACAGAACATTTTCCAGAAAAGTTCATTGAAAAGGTGAGACTAAAAGTACAGTTGAAAAGTAAGACATTAAAAGTAAACATTGCAATATTTACCTTTTTTTTGGAGAAAAATTCAACAAAATTGAGATTTTAAGCAAACAATTTTAAGAAAAAAATGAAATTCAAGATTCATGAGCAACATGAAAATGATTGGTGAGTGACAAGTAAAGTGATTGTTTATCAAACCGACTAAAGTGAAAACATTACCAATGTTTTGATAATACTTGTAAAGAGCTTGTCATTTACATGTTAATTGATTCAATGATTAAGGTTTACCAATTCATTATTAATACATACCTCAAGAGAAACCGTTGACATTCAAATGTTGAGGTAACCAGAATTTTTGTAATACTAATGATTGTATTTGATTCACTAAACATTGTCATCATTCAACATCGAAAGTTGATTGAAATTGAATTTATGACAAAAAATGTTTACTTTATCAGACCATTAAAAGTAGAGGTCTAATGATGTTAGCTCAACCTAACCGTGAACCTGAACCTGCACAAGGTTAGTCGAGCCTTTCCAGTCTTTACAATGTAACCAGTTGCGAGTGAAAAGGTTATTCAACTGCAACTGTCTATTAAACATTGACGTTGATTTATTAACAATTTAACGACACTTGATGATGATGTCAAGTGAGCAATGAAATAAAAGTGTAAACTAGAAAAGTCATTTTAAAAATGATTAAGACTTAAGTGAATCCAATTTTGTTGATGGAAAAAGATGAAAACAAATTGAAAAATAAAGTCAACATTGAACAAGGAAACTGGAAAATACGGGAAATGATAATGAAAATGATTAAGATGAAAGTTAATGATGATTTATATTGATTGATTGCCTGTGATAATTGTGACAAGGAATTAGATGGAAAATGTCTCCTCAAAATGCTAATATCAATCCAGGGAATGATAACAGATTTGAGTAAATCTTTTGTGTAAATAAGTTTAAAAGTAAAGAGCACTTTAACTTGTAAAAATGTCTCACATTATTACATTATTACAGGCTAAAGATTTACCATTTTTTTCCTCTTCTTTCCTCATTTTTCTGGTTAAATCCATCTAACAAACTCACAAAAATCACGAAGGTCATGGTAAAAACATTATTCATCAGAACTTCTAAATCCATTCAAGTTAAATCTGTCAAACCTGAAGAAAAAGTTGAAACCATGAAAAGCTAAACAAAAATCGCATTTAGAGCAACATCAAAATAAAGGATTTTCAAGATTAAACTTAGCGTTTAAATTTTTATCCAAACAAGAAGCGCAATTAAACCAATTGATTGACACTTGAAATTGATTAAACATAATTGGTGGAAAAGGAAAGCTGAAAAATTTTATGAAAAGAAAAAATAATTTCCCATTTTTTTCCTTCCCTCATTGATCCATTTTTAGCTGTGAATCGTTGAAATGTTGTCTTGGAAAAGGTAACATTTCCAATTGTTTATTTCCCATTGTAATTGAATAAAACCTGGCAACAATCAATAACCATTTGAAGTTCATTGACTTGTTTCCTCCTTAACCCAGGTAAACAAGTTCTTGTATTGATTGCAGTAAACTCATTAATTAATCAATTAAACATTAAATTGTTCATCAGTCGACTCGGTTAACTCACAGATTTAACACGATTACCAATGATTAGGTATGAAACAATCACCATGATAGCAATGAATCTCATTGTTCAGCTCGAATGGATAAATTATTATTTAGAATGAAAATAATTGAGTTTTCCCGAAAATCTTTGTAATGTTGATGAGGTTCAATTTTGATTAACATTTGATTGTAATTGCAGAATATGTAAATTAAGAAGATAAAAGTTAATCAACATTTTTGCTCCTTTAATTGAAATGTCGACAATTTACTGAGAATTTGCAAATTAAATTAAGATTTGAAAGCAAGGTCAACGATTTTAATTGTAAATTTGAATGGTTAAATGAGTTTAAAGGTTGAAATCTTTTTATATGTTTATCCATTTAAATTGAACCCTTGCTTCACTCCCAGTTTTGCACTCCCAGCATTTACATTTATATTCACTTTCAAAGTCAACAGATTAATTTAAAATTCAAGTTTAACCTGTTCAACTTGAATTGATGAATGCACAAGGTTATACATGAATAAAAACAAGGAAATTATCATTTTCCTAGTTTTGTTTTTTACCTTTAATGTTTAAAATGATGTCAACAAGGTGAGAACCCAAATTATCATAATAAGTGTTATAAAACATTATATGTATAAACAGATAACCTTTTTTTGCCTCTTTCCTGGCAACAGCAATCCGTCAGGATAAACAATGTAAATTACAAGCTTGCATTTGTTTACCTTTGACTGGAAGCAGGAACAAGAAAAAAGTATAATCTTAATTTAATATCATATTGGAAAGGTTATCATTCCCTGTTTTACTGAACCTCTTAAAATGTCGTTTATGTTTTGTATTAACAAATGTTATGAGTTTGGATGGAAGCAGAAAAAAGGAAAAACAAAAAAAAGTGGAAAACAAGGTTTGCTCAAGACGATTGTTCTCATGATTAATTTCTCATTATTCATATTGAATGGTTATGACGATATCAGGTTTCGATGCTCATACCTTTTGGGAAAAAGCAATTCAAGTCGATGGACAAGTTTACCCAAATAATCAATGTCGCCCAAATTTCATTCTTAATCTTTTAGGTCAACTTCGCAAAATTTCAACTTTGCTTGTTGATTAGATTCTGAGTTTTGGTTATTATTGTCATTCAAATCATGTCAAGTCGTTTGATCGATATTGAAACAATTTCGTTCATTTAATCAAATATTTCGTTCGAAAATTTTCTCCATCATTTCAATCATAAAACTCTTTAAAAGTCAATAATCAAATGCTACTCTTAATAAAGTTAAATTTTCCGAAAGTTGACCCAAAGATCTAGGAATGAAAGCATTGAATGAAATATTTGTTTCAATATCAACTAGAAATTGCGATTTATGGTTGAGCAGTTTCATTCAAATTGAATTGAGGATTTGAAGGTTTAAAGACTTTAATTATTGAAAAACGGAATTTTGTTTTGAAGAAAACTCGAATAACATTTTTGTTTACAAATTTACGCTTTATTTTGTCAAAGTTGAACATTATTTATAAATTGAAGCTGGCATTTGCACTCGAAAAGTTGAAAGTAAACTTTTCATCTCACATTACAACTTATGCCTTAAATCATTAACGTAGCTTAATGATGTTGAAAAGGGCAAATTTAATATGAAAAGACTAACTTTGGATATTCTGATCCCAATAAGATGCAACATTATCATTGTTACGTGTCGTCAGTAAAACTTTAATTAACTCTTTCCTTTTTCTGGAGTAGTTTTTACCAGAGATAATAATGAAAGTGCAAAATTAATAATAATGTTAATAATGAATTAATCGTGTGATTGATGATTGTGCATTAATCGCTATAATATAAGCAAAGAAGGTAATGAAAGTAATCGGGAAAAGGTGTTGGAGTTATTCAGCGTCACTTTAATAATGTGGATAATAATGAGGATAATAAGTAACTTTACAGTATTTATTACCATGAGACTGTTTGACAGGTCAAATGGTT